TTCCCAGACCGTCGCCAATAGCCCATTGTGCAGCTCTAGTGCGACGTAAATTAACAACAACGATAAAGAAAAAAAAGTTGCATAGTTTTCAAAAAAAAATCGGAGTGTGCTTCCGCTAATGATTATAGCCTCATTATATACGGGAAATAAAGTAGTAGATTTCCGTTAGTTTACTTACAATCGAACAAACGCTGTTTTCGTGCACGGAATAGTTGTAAAAAGAGGACTTTTACTCCCAAAAATCCAGACATGCTCTAAAGAGTAGAGGCTACCTCCTTGATGATAGAAAAACTTTGTAAGGATAACTACCAACGAGAAATCCAATCCTTTATAGTCCGAACGTTGTGATATCCATCTAATTTTCCCCACTCCTCAATTTTGCAGAGATTAGTAGTATGAAGGTTGTGACTTCTTTCTGACTTTCCCCCTCTGCGCAGTTTTTTTGTTCCTTCGCATTACTAAAGTGATCCGTGCGAGGACCTTCCCCCTTCTAGGAGGTATTGGATGAGGTCTAGAGATCTAGTTTAATAAGCCACCAGTCAAATGTTTTCACTTTTAAGAAAATCATCAACCAACTGAACTGTATGTGGCAAACAATCAAGACCAACAGCACCCCTCAAAAAAATGGTACTTGCGGCTGCTTGCTATTACGCCTAATCAAGACGAAATTCCTCAGTACGAGAGAAATAAACTCTTTTTTCTTTTTTTAATGGAATTTAAAAGAGATTATTAATTTTCTTAAAAGAAATTATTGTATCTGTATCGAAATTGTAAGTGTATAGAATGGTGTATAACATGGTACTCTTCTCTGTAGTCATGCCTATACATTCCGTCATGACTACATGCCTACTACACAGTAGAGTCAATACTACATGCCTACACATGTAGTCATGCCTATACTGCTAGAGGGGATTCGATGTTATGAACTCAACGAAAACAAAATTTAAATACCAAATGTATTTAAAATTTAAATAATATAATATCTGCTTACATAAACGAGCCCGATTGTATAACTTGAAGAAGGAATTTGATGTGTGCGTTTATAAGAAAGGCAGCTGAACACTGAAAAAATAAGTACTTTTTAAATTTCAATCATTATTTGTATTTGTAACTTAATTTTTTTTTATAGATATATATATTTTTTTTATTTATTGAACTCACTAATATATAACACCGCTAAATGTTACGATAGGAGATTAATTTTCTTTCCTTTCTTGATATATATATATATATATATATGCTGATTATTTTAAGCACAAATAAAATATAAAGGAAAACAAAAATTACACGTCTATAAAAAATTTTAAGTAAACTATTACCGCAATTTTAGGCATATTTTTTTGTTAATATTTTTCCTTTAGTCAAACATATTCAAATAGTCTATTTCAAACCCTCAAATGCTATCGTGAAATGTAATAAGCATACAATGGCAAATATTCGTCATTTAAAATTCTATATTGAAGAAAATATTAAGTGATTTTTTGAAAGTACTAAACTTAACATGCTGTGGTCAACTGCTGTTATAAAATAGTCATTTTTCCCGAAAACTCCACAAATAAGCTGGTTATCTATTTAAGAAAAGTTACGTTTCTCTACTTCTAAAGATAATATTTAAATACACTAAAATATCATTTAAAATATTTTTATTTCACTTCAGTTATTTGAAATATTAAATACCATTCTCTGAAATATAAAACTCTGAAAATAACTTATTTCTTATAAACCACAACTTTTATTGTACTTATAGGAAAAAGAAATGAAGAATTCTGGTAATTTAACTTTTTCATAANTAAGTTTGGTTGCTGCTTTCTTTTATTTCATGCTCTTTTTCAAAAGAAAATTTTTTGCGATATCGACACATATAAGGAAAAAAATATTTTTTAGGAAAATTATTCTTTGTTCAGAAATATCGCATCAAATTATACCAATAGATGTGTCTTGAAGAAGACTATTGGTTTATTCCCATTTATAGTTTTCTCTTTACATTATTTTATTTTATTATTTGTGTTTCGATACATAAATACTTATATATATATAGATAGATAGATATGCTGATTATTTTAAGCACGAATAAAATATAAAAGAAAACAAAAAATATACGTCCATAAATTTTTTAAGTAAACTATTACTTCAATTTTAGGAATATTTTTTTGTTAATTTTTTTCCTTTAGTCAAACATATTCAAATATTCTATTTCAAACTCTCAAATGCTATCTTGAAATGTAATAAACATATAATGGCAAATATTCGCCATTTAAAATTCTAGATTAAAGAAAATATTAAGTGATGTTTTTGAAAGTACTAAACTTAACATGCTGTGTTCAACTGCTGTTATAAAATAGTCATTTATTCCGAAAAATCCACAAATAAGCTGGTTATCTATTTAAGAAAAGTTACATTTCTCTACTTCTAAGGCTAATATTTAAATGCACTAAAATATCTTTTAAAATATTTTTATTTCACTTCAGTTATTTGAAATATTAAATACCATTCTCTGAAATATAATACTCTGAAAATAACTTATTTCTTATAAGCCACAACTTTTATTGTACTTATAGGAAAAAGAAATGAAGAATTCTGGTAATTTAACTTTTTCATAAATAGCAGCCAAATATAATAAAATATTCTGAAATAACTCTATGAAAAGTTTAGATTGCAAATCGAGCTCTATACCTTCCTATTGCGAATCAAAAACTCTTTGAAAAAAGCGGAAAGTATTAAACTAGCTTCGTTAAAATATCTTTTATTCAACCCAAAAACTTTTTTCTCCGAACTATTTATTCGATAAGAGATTTTATTTAAGTTCTTTAATGCATTTTCTGTGGTTTATAAAGAAATTTTCTGAAACTCGAGATTCTTTATTTCGAACTCGTTTTTTTTTTTTTCAAAAAAATGAAAATAATATTGTATGGAAAAAAAATTTAAGATATAGAATTGAATGGATTTGAAATGTATTTGGCTATTTGAATTTTGCGTTATCTTTATTTTAGGTTATTTGTATAAAAATATTATTATATGCCATCTCCAAAATGTCTGCACCTTTTCTGTTAGTTTATATTAAGTTTTTTTTTTTAATGAAACGAAATTAAAGCACCCACTCTAAGAAATGTCCATGAAATTCAGAGAGTTGGTCATTAATTTATACGCCCAGCTCCCTTATATGAGTCAAAACCTAGTACCCGTTATTATAACAAAATTAGTAGAACTAACTATAAGTTTATACTGCTATTCTATAAAGCTCCCTACTTGAAGTTTGTGTATAACCTTTTCCCTAGTAGTTACAGCATCTAGTTATGAACCCAAAGGTGATGGAAAAAAAAATAATTTTTTCTCACATTCTCTACATTTATGAATATTCTTTCTCATTCTTCGACAGTTGAAAGTTCTGTACATTTTCAGCTCGTTTCATTTTTTGTCTTGATTAGACACACAAAACGCCTCAGTCACAAACAACATCAAGTTCCGAACTAGAGATACTTTTTATGAGCATCAAACTTTAGTTTACGATCATTGACCATATAATTTACGAAAAGGTATACGGGCAGATATGTATTATGGTTTTGATAGTGTTTCAGGGCACAAATTTATTTTTACGGTCACTGAGTTTAACACTTTTTCCAGTCACTGAACGCTAACTAGCCGTAAAATTCATTACAGATAGTTACAGATACAGATAGTTAAAATTCTACTTCTTAAATGTTAGTTATCCAAATTCTACATTCTAACTTCCACAAAAAAATTATTTTTTACAGTAAAAAAATTACGAGTGAAAAAGGGTTAACTTGATGTAAGCCAACATGATATAAAGGTTAACTTGATGTGAGCTGATAAATGTAAAGATGTCGCACACGCAAACATTCCGTAGTTTCGTTTCTGTCTTGAAAAACCATCTCCAGTAGTGAAAATAAAACATGGAGTATATAAAGAAAAATTATTAAAGTTACAACAGTTAATTAAAAGGATTAACCAATAGTAAAATAGAGGGGAGGAGGACAAACTTGAACAAGATTACCAGACATAATTGATCAACTTGAGTCGAAGATCGTAGATAATAATCAGGTCTTGTTTAGTACGTAAATAGCTAAGAAACATTTATAAGAGGAAAACACAGAAATTTAAAGTGAGTAGATGATTCAAATCTCTTTTCTTTTGTTTTTGTCCAGTTCAATCTTGTCTCCTTTACCCTTTTTTTTCTTATCTAGTAACTCGTTTGTAATTTTCGTCTGTGCATATCTTTCATTCTGTGTGTCGACACAGAAGATGGTTCTTCATTATTCCAAACTGCAGTAAATATTTTTATGCGACATTATTTGTGCTCTCTACACCTGGCTTAGTATTATTAAAAATAATTCATGTATTTAATTTTCTAATTTGAGTAAAATTTACAAATGATCAATCAGGGCCAGGATAGTCTGGTTGGTAGGGCAATGGGCTCATGTCCGAGAGATCTTGGGTTCAATCCCCGTGGTCCGAAGACTCCCCTTGTGGTAAATGGTGAGTGATGCACGCTAAATCTGTCGAGTCGCAAAGTCCTCCATGTTTCCATAATAAGTCAACACCTTAGGGGGTATTGATCCATGAGTTTCCTTGTCTTTTGGATTGGTTCAAAATTACAAGGCTGCGGAGTTTAACATTAGTAGTCGTAAACCCAAAATTGGGTCAGCTGTTCAACGACGGATATATATAAAAAAATAATCAATCAATTTTGATATTGTTTGTAAATGCTTTTAAAACTAACTTTTGACATACATTAACATAAACTTAAACATTAACATCAACTTAAACATCAACAACATTTTTTTTAAAAAAAGATTTCGCGTACGCCATTGAATGAAACAAAAACAGAAACCCATTTATAACAAGAAAAAAGAAGAATTCATTTTTAAAAATAAAAGTGAAAGGTTGATGAAATTATAAAATTTTTAGGTATTCTTACTTTGAATAAATAATTAAATTTTCTTTCATTGAATTTCAATTAATTCTTTTCATGAATGTTTCAGCAAAGAAGTCTGGTACTTTAGACGCAAAAACAGCACAAGCAGCTTTGGAATCATTTGAAAAGGAAGAAATAGGTATGATTTTTGTCAATTCCTCTATGTAATACTCTTTAGTACCCGGTGCAGTATTTATACGCATCTTTGTGTATTACCTCATATTTTTAACTGATTGTTACCTGATATAATTTTGATGAGTTTTATTGGCCGTTATTAATTTATTTCTACATAAATAAAATTCTACTTTGTTGCTGTGAAATTTAAGAAAAGTAATTTATATATTATATTTATGTTAAAACTTTCTGAGAATTTAATTTGATCGGGAAACTTGAAACTTCATAACTTCAGATGCAGTCCCAAATCTCATGTAACTAAAAGAGTTTAAAAAAATTATTGCATTTTACTACCTTAAGAAGCTATAACCATTTTTACTTTATTACCTCACTTAAAAAAATTTGTACTAATATATTTTTCTCACTAGCGAAGAAATCACCGAAATCACCATGGGGCAAAATGAAAACAATGATTCAAATTCGCCGTGATCATCGCCAACCTAAAAGTGAGAGTAGTAGTAGTTCCCCTCGGGATGCTAAAAATGGCAAACAAACCATTTTACCACCAGAGTCAACATGTGGCCATTCACCAAACAGACGGCAACGGTCAAGCCACCGTCCATCTTATCAAGAAACAGGTATTTAGGTTTTTCAACATTTAAGTCCTTCCAAATTCAGCAATAGTGTCAAACATTTGTTACGTTAACCATTCTTTTTATTGCCTTTAGCAACTGAAAATGATTTTTCCGCCCACACTGGCCAGTGCAATGGTCGGAACCACCAGAGGCTGGACCCTGGGTTTTCCGAACAGCAGCACCGACATCGTCAAAAATCTCCACAAAAGCACAACTATAGAAAATCGTCAGCCCCTCACCTAGAATCAGAAAGTAAAGTAAAAATCGAGAAAGATTTGCTCAAAAATCAACGAGAAAATATTGAAATCCTCCCTGATAATAAGGTTACTAGAGAAGTAAGAAAACTAAATAAAATATAACTTGACAAGAAACTTCATTAGCTTCCAAAAACATGAAGAGGGTAAAGTCGAAACGTTGGAAGCGTTCAAAGAAAGGTGCCCATTCTCGTAATAAAAGTGATTCGTAACATAAAACATAAAGTTGCCCCGAAAAATGATAAAAAGGTGAAAACAAAACAAGAAAAACTGCAATAAAGCCCAGTATTTTCTCTTTTTTTTCACTTTTTGTTAGCAACTTTAGGTTTTAAATTTCAAATTACTTTCTATTCCTTTATTCACGTCTTGAGATTGTGCGCCTATTTTTGACCACTTGAAAAATCTCGACTTTTATTACCATTTCCATCTTTAATTTTGAAGCTACTGAAGTTTTTTGTTATTTAATATATCTTTTTCGCTTCAGTTTCTTGAGATTATTTATACATAAAATATTGTTTACAATTGAAAAGATAGAAGTTTAAACGTTAGTATTGCTGGGTTTTATTTATATCATAAAATAAATAAAAGTCCAATTTTACAGGGAAATCAATATTGAGGAAGAAATGCTTAATTAATTCGTTAAGAAATTCCGATAAAGCAGTAATGTACAACGGTTGTCGGTGCTTTGTTTCTCATTTAGGATGTTTAAAAAATTCCTTTAAATTGAATCCATTCGTGCGAAGTATTTTCTTAAAGCAATGGTTCTCTTTTTTTCGAAAAATAAAGTTGTAACACAAGTGTTTAGTTATTGGGATTTATTTTTAGAAATAAAATAGTTCAGTCTACCATAATATATTAATGATATGAATATTTATATTCGGATCTTTTTTTCAAGGCTAAAGGTGCAGATAATGGAAAGTAATAACTAATTAGTGTTGCTACCTTTTCACATTTCTATTTATTAGGTATTTTTCATAGATGGACAATTTTTTATGGCTGGACATGAGAGAGTAACTAATTTACTTAGAAGTTTCAGAAACACTATTTAAATTTTAATTTTGCAGAAATTGTGGTTCAAATTACCGCATAAAAATACACTTAAACTATCGTGTAACTCTTGATTGGAATTAAAATGTAAATCCATGCAAATTTATATCGTATTTTATATAATTATACTTAAATTAGAAGTCTCGTCTTTCACTATCTAACTGCATTCTAAAATAACTGTTTCAAAAGTTTGAAAACAACATGAGTAATTGAAATTTTTTTTTTTTTTACTATGACGGCTGTTCTTTTGCGAACTAAAAATAAATCAACACTACTGGAAACTAGATATTGATTGAAACTAGGAAAATTTCTTTTATTGTTTACTAAATAATCAGTTTCCACCAAAAAAGTTTTCCGTTTGATTGTATTTCCCATTTTTTAACTTTAAAAAAAAATTGTGTTTTCAGAATGGAAAAAGGAAAAAAAACAAACCTCGCCCTTTACCCCTAGAATATTCAGAGGAAATCACCTGTCACTCACCTATCAATGATGAGGATAGAGAAGAGGCAAGGAGATTAGGTATGTCCCCTTCAACTCACAGAAAGTGGATGTGGTCAAGAGTTAAGGATGTCCTTAAAGGCAAACGCGAAGATGGAGAGCCAATGTCTGCATCAGCTCCTTCCAGTCCAGCATCGGTTGAAGTTTCAAATTTTCCATTTGATGAGGAAAAACGTAAGGCGAATTTATGCAAATAATGGTGTTGAAATTACTAGAAAAAGTCTAAAAATTTTTTTTTACTTTAACATGTCTCCTTTTTTTCTCATTTTTCTTTTCAATCCCTTCGGCAAATTGATCTTTGCTACATTTTTCTCCTCTTTAATTATTCATGTTTGACGCTAGAAAGACTGAAATACCTATATTTCCCAAAAGCAGTCAAAATGACTGCATTGTGAAAGAATAACTAATGCATAAAGAAATTTGTTTAAAATTAATTTTTAATATTTTTGATATTATTTTCAATTATATAACAAGTTATTAGTAAATATTAACAATAAAAAAAATTATATGTTGTACAAAAAGTCACGAAATTCTAAGAAATTGAGTCATCATTGTTTTTCTAATTGAAATTAAAAAGCAGTCAAAATTACTTCCTTGGGCAATCTAGTGTTATTCGTCATGAAAATCGTTTATGCATGCTGATTGCATTTTGAGAGAAGTTAATTTGGTTTCATTCTCAAGGTCGTTTCTAAAGTTTATTGATTAAATAACCTGCTTTGTACTTTAAAGTAGCTCAAAGTCTGCAATTTTTCCATTTAATTCATTCCTCCTATTGAAAATAATATAAATAGTGTAAGGCCAAATAAATTTTTCGACTACAAGAAAAACACTCGCGTATTTTTTCATTTAATGGTTATGTAGTTTATTGTTCATAACTATGGTTGTCAATAAGAAAAAATTGGGTTTAATACAATGAATTTATAGCACACCTACAATTGTGAGGCTGAGATAAATAAAAAATGATAAAAATATTAAAATATTTCATGTATGCCAATTACTAGAGAGGGTGTAAATTAAATTTTCATATAATCATATGTAGTTACTCGATTTAAATATTATATGAGCATAATAGTATAATTATTTTGACTAGAACTTTTTTAAGCTACTAATTAGGTCATTGATGTCATTTAAGTTTTTGCTGTAAACAAAAATAAGGCTAAACTCTAAGTTGCAAAACTTATATTCTAACAGTTGACGAATATTTTTGTGTAATTTTCTTTTATTTACAGTATTTTTTCATTCCAGTATTTCTTACTCATCTTTAGCTGTATCTATCAAACTGAACCTCGATTCAGAATTTATTTTATTTAAAATGGCTTTTATGATTTTAATCATACAATTTGTTATTCATCACCTTTAGCTAAATTTAAAGTAACAGAACTTAGATTAAGATTCTTTTTATATAACAAATATTTCTCACACTTTTTAATCACAGTATTAGTTATTCAGCTGAATCTTTAACGATAGCATATGTTATTTAATTTAGCTGAATCTAAAATTTTGGAGAATTGAACTACGATTCAGATTTTTTTTCTTTAATCAAAGCATTTGTTATTTATTTTTAGCTGAATCTAAGCAATTAAGGAATTGAACTACGATTCATAATTTCTTTTTATTTAACCAATATCATTCATTTCTTTAGTCAAAACACTTATTATTTATATTCAAATGAATCTAAAAAATTAAAGAATCGAATTTCGATTCAGAATTTCTTTTTATTTAACCAATATCATTCATTTCTTTAGTCAATACATTTGTTATTTATATTCAACTGAATCTGAAAAATTAAAGAGTTGATTCAGAATTTTCTTTTTTTAACTAATATCATTAATTTCTTTAGTCAAAACATTCGTTATTTATATTCAGCTGAATGTAAGGAATTAAAGAACTGAACTTCGATTCAGAATTCCCTTTTTTTTAATCAATATCATTCATTTCTTTAGTCAAAGCATTTGTTATTTATATTCAGCTGAATGTAAGGAATTAAAGAACTGAACTTCGATATAGAATTTCCCTTTTTCAGCCAATATCATTCATTTCTTTAGTCAAAGTATTTGTTATTTATAATCAGCTGAATCTGGAAAACTAAAGAATTGAACTTCGATTCAGAATTTCTTTATATTTAACCAATATCATTCATTTCTTTAATCAAAGCATTTGTTATTTATATTTAGCTGAATCTAAAGAACTGAACTTGGATTCCGAATTTCGTAATCAAAGATCGGAAAGTGAAAGCACAAATCCAGTGCTGCTGCCCAATTCAAATCCTTCCGCAACGGTTACAGAACTGCTTCGAGAACTTCAACAAAATTTGAGTGATGATTTCAATAAGAAGTTAGAAGAGTGGCAACGATGCCGTGACGAAGGAATTCACAAATCTCCTGTTCTGGAAGTCGAAAGAAAAGACTCCTTTGGTCGAATGAGGAAAATCAGTAAACCTGAAAAGAAAATGTCTACTGGCGAGAAACTATCCAAAACTGGCCATCAGATACCTAAAAAGGTGATTAACATAAATTTAATATTGCATGCATATATGACGCATTTTTATTTTCAAATCCAACTCAATAAAAGTTTTAAGAACTTTACAGGAAAAATAAATAATGAATGACAAATCTTTTACAGTCATTTAAATTTTGGGTTAGATTTTGTTCCTTTTAAAAAATACTTTTTTTTCTATAATTTTCTTAAAAATACGAAATAATTTTTTTTTAAATCTTTGAGGGTAAAAGAATACAAATAATAATAAGAATTAATTAACAGAAAACGGTTTTAATCTATTTAATTCAACAGAAAAAGGGGATGCCCATCGAATTTTGTTGCTAAATTAGTATTTTTCAAATGAAAATAACTAAATATGAAAACTTCTAGTTTCTTTCGAATTTTCCGCAATTTTTAGTTCTATATTATTTTTTCTAATATGTTAAAATAGCAATAAATCTAAATTTGGAAAATTTTTAAAAGCAACTTTTGAAAATTGGAACTCCTCCATTTTATTAAAAAATATGCATAAACAAAAAGATATACAAACCTTAAACCCTCATTTGGCAATAAATACAATCCCAATACAATCATCATTTGCTTTACCATAAATTGATTAAATATCGGCCATAATAACGAAAAAAATCTATTTTGGGAAAGCGTTTTTCTGTTGTGAAAGTAATTAATATCATACTAAAAGGATACTTGTAAAGCAATTATATAGGATAAATTCATTTGCATAGCTGAAACTAACATTATTTACTTATCTATAATTTTTCCGCTTATCTTCAGTATTTGAATGAGATAAACAATAACGCATTCAAAATATTTTTATGTTACAGAATTTAACGAACATTATTTATTAAATTAATAAAATAAAACAATTTCAAAAACGTTTATCGTGTAGAATTTGAAGATCTTCAGTTACAGAATCAAAAATATAATAACTCATAAAAAATATTTTTATATAACAGTACCTGAGAAACTCCAGACAAAAATAAAATAAAAAGTATTGTATAGAAAAAATTTTGTTTTATTATTACAGAATTTATGGATCACTGTAAAAATTCCGGATCAAATCACTGAATGAAGCACCGGCAGTTTGAGTACATCGTTCGTAAAATATCTTCTACAGTCAAGTCCCTTTTTGCTGTAAAATTTATGCCCTAATTTTTTCAGAAATATATTTTCAACTACAGTGATTCAGTTATTTTACAGTAATTATTACTATAAAAATTATTATACCATAATTTTTACAATAATATTTACTTAATTAGAGTTATTCAGTGATTTTACGATATTTATTACTATAAAAGTTCTTATACCGTAATGTTTACAGTAATATTTATTTAATTAGAGTGATTCAGTGATTTTGCGATAATTATTAATCTAAAAATTCTGAGATTTTTTGTTCCGTAACATGTTCCGGTAAAAATTAAATTTACCTTAAGAAGTGCCGGAACTTCTCACCGTAATTTCATCTCGAATTTTTTACAGTATAGATGTAAAATCAAAATCAATAAAGTGCTCAAAATATTTTACGTAATAAGTTTTGAAGTTTAAAAGTTTTTCGTTATGAAGTCACAATTCAACAACTCATACGAAATAATTTCATGTTACAGGATTTAAGTTGGTTAGAAAAAGAACAACAGAAAATCGAAAGAGAAATCATCAGACTTACAAAAGAAAAACAAAAATTCGAAAAACGAGCGATTCGGTTGAAACAATTAAAAGAAGCCATGACAGATGGCCAAAGAAAGGAAGTTCTGGTGAAAACATCAGCTGGCGAGTTTCGTTTCGAAGGAATATCAGATGCCTTCACTAAAAAACTTTACGAATGGGAAACTAAAAAAGGAGTTAATCCAGAATTGTCTACAATAGCTTTACTTGATGAATCTTTGAAGCCACCAGTAGAGACCGTAATAACAGCCGCAGGATCAAGTTCTGTTGGTTCAAACTCGACGAGGACCTCTCCGGAACCTCCCAAAAACTGCTATCAAGTTTCCAGAGCAAGTTCCGAACCAGATTTATCAGCAACCCAGAAAGATTCTAGCCCCAATAACCAAACCGCAAGGTAAATATATTTATTAGAAGCCTCTCCCGTTTGTCCTTTTAATTAACGTTGATTTTTCATGCGAAGTTATTATTATACTCAATGGATAAAAAACATCAAAACCAGTTCAACTGCCGAATGAAACTAAAAAGTATTTCTAATTACATCTGTACACCTTCTCCCAGTTTCTTTCCACAATAAAATAGAATTTAATGTTTTTAATTTCTTCTTCCTCATCATTGTGTGCGTCTTAAAGCTTTAACAATAGTTTTAATTTATTTTCAAACATAACTGTGATGCTTTTTCAAATAAGGTAAAGTATAGACCAAAAACATGATCATGATTGCTGCAAAATATTTTTCATTTCAAAATGCATTGTTTAATAGTTTGAAACATTTTAAGCATAAAGTTCTGAAATCATAATGGTAACTGGATGCCAGCAAGCAGCGTCATCGTGGGAAAATCGTGGCATTGTTTAACGTAATAATAACCAAGCCTAATTGCTCTAACATTAACCGGTTAAGTACAACCACGTGATCAGGCCCAACCATGTAAATTACATCAAATGGTCGGACCTAATCATGTGTTCTTCTTCTCAACTTTCAAGTACCCAATTGAAAGAGAATCTAGTAACACTCTTAATTATTTGTAGCAATTTGCTACCATTTTTTGTAGCAATTATAAACAAGTAAATCATTACGAGAAATCCCACTTTACTTTTTTTAAATTAAAGAATCCCTTTTACACCACTCCTTAAAAATTTTGGTGGAAATTTAAGTAAATTGCAAGATAGAATAACTGATAAATAATAAAGTTTTTTTTTTCTTTTTAAAACAAAATTATTTATCATTCCCTTTCTTAACCCCAATCCAGACCATAAAGTTAATCTTATTAATGCTTAGAAAACAACTAAAAAATGTTTTAAACTTTTGACGATAGTAATCTATTTGATAAAGAATCTATAATTTGAGAGTATTAGAGTTGTTTAGAAAATTATCATCTAAAGCACGTTTGTCATTTCCCCCAAAATCGAATTTCGAATTCCTGGAGGGCTTATCTTTATAAGCAATTACCATTTATCACAGCTCATTACCAATTCCTTTGGAATGCACTCAAAATATCGCATACTAAATTTTCAATTCAATTTGAATAACAATTCTGCTTTTTTTCGGAATTATCTTTTTAAAAAATTGCAAAAACTGATAAATTGTTTCATTAAATTATTATGAATAAAAAACTTTAACACGTATTGAATTGATTTTCTCATAAAGAAAGTTCTTTTTAAGTAGGGTATTTATTCCATTAGTAATTCTTTTCTTTTCTTTTAACTATACACAATTTCATACTTCTTTAGTTTAAATATGATGCTATTTTCATTATCTCATAAACAAATTTAATTAACCTAAGATTAAAGCACAGTAAATTATGATGATACATTTTTATTTGTATTTTAGAGACGATTTGTAATAAATACTTTTTTTGTTCAAATATATTATTCATTATAAATACATACATTTTAGGGTCAAATTTGATATTTTCTTTTATTTTCATAGAACTAAATTTTATTATCTGAAAAATTTAAAAATTAATAAAAAATTGTGCAAGAAATTTTAATCTATGCTGCAAATGAAATTTAATTAATAAATAAATACTTTGCCTGTTCAAATAAGTAAATATCTTTATGAATTAACATGTTGAAATTAACATTGAAATTAACAAATTAATTTCAATAAGTTAACTTATTGAAATCAAATTTCATCGTGTTAATAAAAATAAAAATTTATTATCGTAAAATTAAATAGTAATAAATAATTGTATGAAACATTGAAAAAAAATGAAATGGGAAACAAAAATTTATTGTTATTAAAGTTGATGATGATAGTCTTTACCTCAGATTGAAAAAGAGTTATAGATAAAAACAAGTAGTTTTGTAGAAGAACGTTTAACTTTTAATTATAAAATCACTTTAATTATAGTGTCGTAGCCAAATATATTTTTCCTTTTCATGCACGTATTTTTTTTTATTGAATTTCATTAATTTTTGGTAACAAAAGATATTATACTGTATAATTTCATGACTGAACTGCATTTATTTTAAAAATTTATTAATTAACAAATATAAGCAGTACTGCTCTAAAAATGTATAAAAAAATAATGGAACAAAGTTTTTGTTGCATTTATACAAATACTTGATATTACCTAATTAGGTTGTGGGAATTTCAAATCTAAAACTAGTTTTACTCCTAAAGCTACAGATTATTTTAAATAACATTTTTTTGTCAAAATGTACAAGTTTAGAAACGTTATGTAGAACAGAAGTTCGCGTAAATGTTGCGACAATCTTCTAAGGGTGCTTCCCTATTATGAGCTTCTCAGAAGAACAAGAAAAAACAACTCATAATAGGTAGACGCCCCAAGCGTTTGAGCACTTTTTCAGGCATGAGTTTCAACAAAAATGGATTAAAAATGTCATTTAAAAAACTGTCGCTTGGAGAGATTTGAATTCAGCGATACGAGAGTATTTTAAACTTGTTAAAAAAAATCTCAAGAAACCGAAAACAAAGTTCCCGTTTATAATCTGTAAAATCCATTTTATTTTTTAAGTAATACGATAAAAGAGGAAAATGTAATTGCCATTGAATATAGTAAATTAATTAAAACAAAAAGTTGTTTTTTGGCTTCACAGTTCAAAAAGACTAAAAATATGCTGAAACTTTCTGTTGTGAATCTATCTAAAAATACAATTAAGTTTGAATTTTTGGTTATTTTTAAAAAAACAAAAAAGCCATATTTGTAAAAACTCTTTATATTGTTCTACGTTTTTTTCTACTACATGGCGATATGTGAAACTGTGGTTTAATTTGTTACTTACAATATTGCACTTGTTTGTTCCAAGAATATTACTCAAATGGAAATTTTTGAAGTTATTGGATTGAATTCAAAATTTTCGAATCTGTGAATCTTTATCATTTTTTCACAATGTTGCAGAAATAGAACAGTCAATATTCTATCATTTTGCATGATGTTGTAGCATAATGATTTTCAATGAATTTTAATACTTATTTAATGATATTTTTATGTGCTTGAAATAATATGTTCTAAAGTATTGACAATTTTTTATTGCAAATCGGAGATGTTAAATAATATGTAATAATTAGATAATAAATAGATAAAAGGTTAAATTACAAGAAAACCCCTACAAGTTTCAGAACGATTTTGTTTTTGTAAGGTGGGAAGAAATTAAAATAATTTTGGGATAGCAACAGTATTTTTTCAAAGCTTATATTAAAAAGATTCATACTTCACTACTTTTATTTATAGAACAATCCTTTTATTTAGATCAAAATCTGGTGATACTTTACTCTCTAGTGGTGATTTGGAAGTTATTGCCACTTTAGAAGCTGACAATCCCATCACTATTAGACAAGAACAAAAAGATGTTATACACCATACGGAAGATGGTTATTATTCCCTACTGGAAGAAAATATGTACCTACTCGACCAATTAAAAGAAAAGGAAGAAATATGTGGCCATTTACAAAATGAGTTAGACAGGCTTGACGACAAAACTCAAAAGAATAATCGAAATCATCAAGAAGAAATGGGTAAGCACGTTAACGTATGTTTTATAAATGCGGCATCAATCGTTTGAATAATAATGTGATAAATTTGTTATTAGTTTTGTTCTTCTATTTTGTTTATTTATACTTATGCAATCTTTAATTGTTTTTTGACATTATTTTGCGATTTTTATAACCTAGTTAAGGTGTGCATCACAACTTTTTTTTCATTGGCAATCATAATTAAAATATCGCCAATTTAACGAGAAAACTCCAAAAATTGGTGGTAACTAAATTTTACTACTTCTTCAGTTTCGTTTATTAACTATTTACTTCAGTGAGAAAAAAAGTATAGTCAAAACTTCCAGAGTATGGTAAAATTTACAATGTTTCCGGCTCTACGGGAGCACCAAAAAGTTAAGTAATTTTTACCGAAGAGCTTTTGGCATTGATTTTAGTAAAATGAATAATAAAATACGGTTGTATAATGTGATAAAATTGGTAAATGGGATAAAATTTGAAAATTTTATTATGATACCTTAGAGCAGGGGTGGCGAACCTTTATGTATCAACGTGCTATTTTTTCTAAAAAAATGTTTAATTAGGTCATAGACGTGCCGTCAAATAATTATTGGGAAAATAATAATACTAAATACTATCAACTCAAAACTCTTCATTTACTGCGAAAAAAAAAATACATTTTGCAATATCTCAGTTATACACGTAATTCAACTTAAAGTTAAATCAGTGTGACTTCTGTTGTTGCGGATTAAAAGACGAATAACTTATATTAGGGTTGTAAGATGATAGTTTAAGCCGAATGCATGCTGAACTGGAGTCATCTGTCAAACTGTTTCTAAGCGAGTCTTCAATGTTATTCTTCTCTGGAAATAATGACTCGCAGGCATAGGTAGATGAAAATATTGTTAAAATAGCACGATTCTTCAATTTCCAACCAATCGAATTGGGACAAGTTCAGTTTATCAAATGAAGTTACATCAGGGTACATAATAAACTTGAGTGTTTCCGATAATTCATTGAACTGAGAAAATCTCGCTGAAAATTCATTGATTGTAGAATCAATTATAGAAATAAATTCTTCGGTGATTGTTTCTTCTCCTGGTTTTTCAAGTATATCAAAATCTTTGATATTTCTTTTTAACTTTGAAAAATGCTTGTAGTTTCTTGTAATAATAATATCGTTCCTGAAAATATGCAGTTTAGCGTCAAAACCACGAATGAGATCTATCATGATGATAATTGTTTTATTTGTGCCTTGAAGTTTCACGTTCAATTCATTGAAACGTTGGCATATGTCGTCTGTTAAAAACATCAATTTTGAGAGCCACATAACATCCAACAACTGTGGGTATTGTTCAATTTTTCCCTCATTTTGCAGAAACAGTCTGATTTCTTCCAAGCAATCAATAAATCTTTGAAGTACGTTACCGCTGCTCAACCAGTGAACATTATTATACATCAGTAAGCCATTATACACCAAGTTGACTTTCTCCAACAAAGCATCGAACTTTCGCTTATTAACGGCCTGCGACAAAATGAGGTTGACTATTTTTGTAACTACCTCCATTACATTATCAAGAGATGTTAAACCACTCCTAGCACACAAGGCTTGTTGGTGAATGAGGCAGTAGAATTCAAGAATCGAATGTCCTACGTCTGTTTGAAATAAACTTATGAAACCACTTTTTTTGCCCACCATACTTGGAGCACCATCAGTTGTTACTGAAACAATTTTTTTTCAAAGAAACTTCTTTCTCAATAAGTCAATTTTTAACAGCCGTACAAATATCTTTGCCCTTTGTAATTGTTAGCAGCGGTGTTATCTTATTTAATCCTTCCTTAATGACGCTTCCTACGCAATATCGAGCCAAACGTGCAGAAACGTGCGACATAAAAGGAGCGGAGTTAATGTCAATTTTTTGTTGATCTGTTACATTTCCGAATAGTTTTAGGATTCTCTCCTTTATTGTATTTCTGTATAGAGGAGTATCTTTGATGCGCTGAACTATCTTATCTTTTTTATCGAAATCATCAAAAAGTGAGGGCGCACAAGCTACCCAGGCTTCCTTCGAAAACTCTCCCTCTTGAAAAGGTTTACTACACCTTTGCTTAAGTGTCATATTATGTCTTGTACTGTTTTTGTTTCGCATAGCTTAATTGTTCTTTTGTTTTGCATTTTATTAATTATTAACTGTTAATTTTTTTGCTTGTTATTTATTGTTAGCTTGTTTTTTATGGTTATTAATTGTTATTTTTTGTAATAATTGTTAATTTTTTGTTAATAATTATTAATTTCTTTTGTTCATGTTTTGTCAATTTTAATTTAATTGTTAATACGTTTCATAGTGAACTTTGAGATCGGTGGGGTGCCCAAAATATTCTGTAGCGTGCCATCAATGGCACGCGTGCCATTGGTTCGCCATCTCTGCCTTAGAGCATGCGATAGATACTATTCGTTCATTTAAATTTATAACTCCGGTAAGCAGTTGCCATAGGAATTGAAAATTTACTAAGTGAATGATTTAAATACCGTATATTTGAGCTTAATTACAATAATTAGCATTTTTCCCCATAAATGTCATTACCATACAGTACTGTAATTTAACTTGATTTTTTTCCGTTATATACAATCAATACATGTAACTGTATGTAACAACATATGTAAATATTTTAACTGCTAAAACATTCCAATTATTAAAATAAGGAGTAAAAATAAATGGGAAACTTGTAATGGACATGGATAATATTTTGTTTGATTCAGTTAAATTCATATTGAGTGTAAATAATAGCAATATATGTAACAAAAACATTATAAAGAATACATATGGATACTTAAAAAATATATGTGAAACTTAATAATTCAGATTACGAAAAATAGTGAGATCAGGATAGCCTGAATGGCAGGGAGCTGGACTCAAGTTCAAGAGAAAAATAAATAAACAAATTTAAAATTTTTCAAGAGAAAAATAAATAAACAATTATAAAGCTATACTGCAGCAAAATAACACACAAAAAATAAGATTTAATAGCTGTGAATTTTAAAATGATAAATAACCATAAACAAAATACTCTAGACTTAATTCCAAAATTCCATGTATCGGTTTTATTTAGTCATTTAAAAATGTTATGTAACAAAAAAATCTGTAAATTAAAATGGAAGTGCTGTAGCATTTGTATGTAATTTTATTCAGAAAAATATCGCCAAAAATTGTGGGAAATACACATGTCAAGACCAAGAGATTTGCAAGGGTCACTGCATCTCATTTCTGAGTTGAAATCACGAATAGAAGAGTTACAAAATTGCTCCGATAAATTGAAATCCGACCGTGAGAGACTAGAAGTAAGTATATTTTTATTTTATTTCATAACCGTCGTTAAACAGCAGACCCAATTTTTTGGGTTTGCTGCTACCAATGTTCAACTCCGTAGCCTTGTAATTTTGAACCCAATCCAGAAGACAAGATTACTCCTGGATCAAGCCTTGAGAGAAAATTGTCTTCGTAGAAAACTTTTTCATGGAACTAACCCGTATTTGCGTTACATGGAGAGGATAATCACGAAACCTCCCACGGTTAACCTGACGGCAAGGGGACTCTAACCCATGATCCGTCTACCACTCAGGGTATTTTACGTTTGCATTGTGGTTGGTGCAAGCCGGATGCGGAATTCTTATCGACCATCAGCCATCGCTGGGATTCGAACCCGGTTCACTCTTTAGAAAGCGAACTCTCTATCCCCTGAGCCACTACGGCTAGACAAGGGTTCTCCTGGATCAAGCATTGAGAGAAATTTGTCTTCGTGGAGGATTTTTTGATGGAACTAACCCGCATTTGCGTTACATGGAGAGGAAAATCACAAAAACCTTTCACGTTTAATCTGATGGCAAGGGGACTCTAACCCATGATCCGTCTACCACTCAGGGTATTTTACGTTTACATTGTGGTTGGTGCAAGCCGGATGCGGAATTCTTATCGACCATCAGCCATCGCTGGGATTCGAACCCGGTTCACTCTTTAAAAGGTGATTGCTCTATCCCTTGAGCCACCACGATTCTAGGAGTAAGTATACGGATAAATTAAGACACATTAGCCGTTTTAGAAACATTTAACTTACTTAGGCTATTCTTATAATGATAAAATCTGAGTTCTAGTAGCAAATAAAATTAATAACTTGTTTCAGTAAAGCCTGATGCATAAGTTGCATAGCTTAAATTCAATTTAGACTGGTGGTCAACTTATAAAGATGGATGGATCATTTATTTTTAATCGTTCCATATATCATATTATTGTTATATATGTAATTTATGTTAAAAAAATACATAAAAGTAATACTGAACTAATTTGGTCATAAAAATCGGATGCATGTCAGTTAGTAATTAATTTCATTTAAATATATATACAGTGAGCAAAAAAAAGAAGCACCCTGAATATCTTTTGATCTAATAATCGGATCTTCACGTTCTGGTACACATTCTTAATGGTTCGAAAGGGGGACCTGAAATATGTTAATTAATTAGCGCAGACGATATTTGAAGTTAAGAATTCGATTCTTAAAAAAGTCATATATTTAAAATCCGACTTCTCAGGAACTATTTGACCGATTTCACTCAAATTTTTTATTCTGTCATGTGATATTAAACTTTTTTTTAAAAATGCAAAAAGTTGTATGCTTTACAATTCAAAATTTCTTCAACCCCCATTGAATAAAATCATAAATATTTACTAAAAGATATTTTTTGCATGCAATTATCTTTGGATAAACGAATTGCATACTTGTGTGCAAAGTTTTTTCAATTCGTTTAAGCTCTCGAGATATGGCGAAATATGCGAAAACATAAAATTGTCAATGAGAGATGCAAACTTTGGACCGCTCTCTTGACTGAAACTTTAGGACCATATTTTCCGGATTGCTGCTAACCTCTATATTTTGGAGGTCAAAAATCCAAATGCGTCCATAAAAGTGCATGTTTATTTAAAGAAAGTATGTTTTTTGTGTCTGATTTTGAAACCTGAAATATTGTCTGCACTAATTGATTAGCATATTTAAGGTCATCCCTTGGAATCATTAAGATTGAGTCCTAGAACGTGAAGAATCGATCATCGAATCAAAAAAACATTCAGGGTAGTCCTGTTTTTGTTTTTTTTCGCTCTGTTCATTAGAGCATTTTCAATGGTTTAAAATTTATTTAGTTACACACTTTAGAAAAAAAGTTTATGCAAAAGATTACTGTGAATATATTTCACTCAAAAGTTTATCACAGGTAGTTTGCCCACATGGTCAACTCATAAAGGAGTTTAGGTTAGCTTTTAAAACTGTTTCACCAATTCAGTGAGATTGTAATACATAATGTTAAACCACAGGAAATTTCTTGGCAAGATCTGTATTTTTTCCGGTCAACTTATGAAGGATTTAAAAGAACATTCAATAACGCTAACAAAAAAGTTTGATTTATTTCAATGGTCAACATACAAGATAGAAGGGTAGTTAGGTTTCAAAGGTTTTGCTCCCTTTTATTACACAAGATGAATTCGATTCCTAATAATTGAGGAAAACTTGAGCACATGATCAACTAAGAAGGGTGGTCAACAAGCAAGCTTGTTCAACTTGACGAGTTATACTGTACCACGATTCACTTATCTCATTTGCATATTTGTAAGGGGAAATCTCTCAAACAAAATTTGACCACTTTCTAACGAGCTAGAACTTGATCTTGAACTTGATAGTGACGAGCTAAAACTTGATATTGATTCTGATGACTTAAATCTGGGTCCGATGACATTACAAGCTTCGGAAGTTCCCTTACCATTGTGAATAGAATTTATCGCCAATCGAAATTTTGATCCCTTTTCGACTAGTTAGAGTGCTTATCACATTCGCTTAGAGTTCACACCAGATGGGTAATCGTTGCCTGCCCAATACAATCGGAATCTTCGTCAATCAAATTTTCGCCTTCACCCTAACAAAAATCCGCAAAACTAAAATTAAGAAACTAATGTAATAAAAAAAGCTTTTCAAAATTGCCTTTTTAAAATGAACTAAACAGAAGAAAGTAACCTTAGTTTTGTCAGGCATAAAACGTAAAGGGTAAGGTAAAATTAATTCTAATCCAACTACAATTCCCCTACCCCGTGTTCTTTGAAATTAATGTCCTACAACACGTTTGATTCTAGAATCCATTAAGAAAATGATTTTTTTAAAGTATAATTTTAAGAAAATTCTTTATATTTTTTTGTTCTTACGGCAGCAAAGCATGTTTAAAATTTTATATATTGTGTGTCATTTTTCTTTAATTTCTATTATGATCCTTATAAAAATATTAAGACAGTTATGCTAATTGAAATGTGTTTTTTTGTCAATTAGGAAAGCTTTCGGTATCATAGTAATCAACAAGCAAGATTAGCTGATGATTTGATCAAAAAAATGAGAGAAATGCAGACTTCGGGTACTATGGTTGGCTGCAACAGGAGTGGTAAGTTATGTATACGAAAATTTTGTTCATTTATTTACTTATTTTTTGAACACTTATTTAATAATTTCACTAGTTTGAGTAAATTGTGGATGTTGGATTAAATGTTTTCGATTCAAATAGAATTGAACCTCTGTGAAACTTAGTATATAACAAATATTTAATTGAATCAGGAATTACATTAATTTGTTTTTTCTTTTAATTCATAAAGCCAATCATCATAAATTTTTAAAAACATTTTTAGTTACAACCAAGATAGTGGCAATCTCACAAGTAATGGGAATATTTTAACTAGCAAATCTGTAGAATCAATCGTATTTGGGCAATTCCATGAAAAAGGGGAAAAGCATTGGAAAATTCAAATAAGAATAATGTTATCATTTTGGATGTTTTCTGAATTAGAAAGGTTTGAAGTTTGATAATTTATAATTATTTTTTTTGAGAATTTAGTTTTTTAGTGTTGGTAACCCATTGAACATTGGCATTTACTTGTTCTGATTTGGGTGAAGAACATGGTCAGTTTTTGAAAATCAGTAAGTTAACATTATTTTAATTTCAAAATGTTCCAAAGAATAAATATTGTTTATTACACTTAATAGAAATATTGTGCAGTGTTAAAATAAGTTTTTGTTGTTAAATTCACTTAATTATATAAATTTCAACTAAACATTAATGCATGTAACGTAAGTTACCAAAAACTAGAAAAAGTTTTTGTGTGTAAAAAAGAACAAGTGATACAAAAGTAAGAATAATATTTTTTCTTCCTTAGAGGCTAACACTAAATAAGCAGCAATAGTTTTCTTTTCAAATATTACTTATTTATTGTTTTGTGCCCCATTCAATATGTGTAACGTAAGTTACTGACATGCATGCAATGTAAGTTACCAATGTGAAATGAGTTTATTCCTCTTGAAAATTGGCATACAAACTAAATAAGATGTATCCAGTTACAATACCAAAGTTTAAATAAATTATCACTGCCTTAAGATATTAATTTTAATGAAACTCTTTGCTTTAAGTTATTAATTTGGGTGTTGGCATTCATATGTTTTCAAAGTTGAACGAAATCTTTCGACAGGCACCGGGAGTTAAGGATGTAGTTATAATTAGAGATGCTAATGGTAGCAAAAAGAAAGTACAAGCACGGCATCTTCATCATTCAGTTCGAGAAATGCACCAAATGTTTATGGAAGAAAATCCAGAATGCAAAATTGGAAAAACTAAATTCTTTGAGCTCCGTCCAAAGCATGTCTTGCTTAGTAGCAAACTTCCAGGCAATGTTTGTGTTTGTAAGCATCATGAAAAGTTCGGATTGACTAAGGAAGCCTTCAGCAAAATTTATAATGTTCCATCTTACGAAATTCTTTAGAAATTTATTTTATGTTTAGAAAAAACAGCTGAGTGCGAGTCTCTAGAACAGATGAGTGGAGTGTCTAGTCTATTCTCAAAATCTCCACAGATTAAAAACATTAAGCAGATCCACCATTTAAGAGTACAAGAAGGCATACCAGAAGAGTTTTTTTTAGTGAAAGATGTTGAAAAAGAAAATGATGAATCCAAGATAAATGCTGGGGGTTGATATATGGTTAGATAGGAGGACATGTTATATCCTGGTGTGGTAATGTCTGTTGCAGAGCAAGAATTTAAAGTCAATGTAATGGCTGCTGTGGGAATCTATTGGAAATGACCAGGAAAAAGAGATGAAATATTCTACCAGAAAGAAAGCATGGTGAAAAGAATTGAGCCCCCTGTACTAGTTAATAACAGAGGACTTAATAAGTTTGCAGTTATGTGTGAATCAAAAGTATCTGAATTTACTTCATGTACACTTTTTCTCCCTTGCACTATACTGTTTAAATAACTTAATTTGCATTTGTACATTATTTGATAAAAGTTTGATACAAAGGGAATTTCGTAACGTAAGTTACTGTAACGTAAGTTACCCACTTAAAAAATTATATTTAATTTAACTTTTGAAATAAAATCTTAAATCTAGGCATAAGAAATATTTAAACATGTCAGAAAAATGATACATATAATCTTAATCATGAAACTTTTGTATAAGAACAGAATTTTGCCTTCAAGTATATTGCAAATTTATGCCATTCCTTTTTCGGTAACGTAAGTTACCACACTAATTTTAGGCTTTTACACTGTTTAAATTGAAAAATAATAATTATTTTAATTAGATTCCTTTTGGTTTTGATTGTAATTTTAAGAAATCACTTTATTTTAATATGTGTATTCATATTATTTGTTTGCTTCTAAGTTCTCAATGCAATAAAGTTTACATGAATGTAACGTAAGTTAGCGTGGAATAGCCCATTTTATATATTATTTTATATTGAACATATTTTATAACCGGTGTTGATCATCCGACTCATTTCTGAGTTAACAACTATCAATGTTCAACTCTGTAGCCTTGCTATTTTGAACCCAACCCAGAAGATAAGGGAACTCATGGATCAAAAATTGGGACAAACTGGGGAAATGTTTGGTGAAACAAACCCACGTTACATTACTTAGTGGGAAAAATCACGAAAACCTCCTAGGGCAGGGATGGCGAACCAATGGCACGCGACACAATATTTTGGGCACGGCACCGATCACAATTGTTATTACACTATGAATTGTTATTACACAAATGTTATTACACTATGAAGCGTATGTAACAAATAAATTAAGAATCACAAAAAGCAAACAAAAAAATTAACAATTATTAATTAAAAAATTAACAATTAATGCTAAAAAAACAATTAATAACCATAAAATCAAGCTAACAATAAAAAACTAGCAAAAAAAATTAACAGTCCTGCTTAAACTAACATTACAACCTAATATAAGTTATTTGTCATCTAATCTGCAAAAACAGAAGTCACACTGATGTAACTTTAAGTTGAATTGCGCGTATAACTGAGACACAGCAAAATGTATTTTTTTTCAATGTAAATAAAGAGTTTTGATTGTATTTAGTATTACTATTTTCCCAATAATCACGAAGTCAAAATTATTTGACGGCACGTCTAGAACATCATTAAGCAATTTTTTAGAAAAAATGGCACGTTGGTGTATAAGGGTTCGCCACCCCTGTCCTAGGGTAACTCTGACGGCAAGAGGATTCTAACCCACCGTTATAGAATAGTACTATGATTCAACGTGGACAAAAGTATGATCCAATTTAACATCTCACTAAGGTTGCAACAAATTTGCACCATGTTATGGTTTAACGTATGGTTTAGCTTACCGATATTATGATTCAACGGTGAACCAATTTTTCTAAGAGAGTAGATTGAAAATTTAAAATCTAATCGATTTTCTTACAATTAAACAAATTTTGTTCTTTTTGTTAGGATACCGCAGAAAATGGCGTAAGACGATGAAATGTGACCCGTTTAGTATATCTAGAATTCATGATTTGTCAACGAAGCTTCTGCAACAGGTAAGTGTATTTTAAAATAGCTTGAATTCCATCAATGTTTAATTATAGAAGGTGTTCTGTAATGTTTGCCCTTGATTTTTCTTTTAGAATGGTTGTCAAAATTGGAATCAAAAAACTGTACACGTTAAGTGCCACAAAGTTATTTTTAAGTTAGTGAAAGCAAAGCAAGGGTAAAAATAATCTGAAAATCGAATCAAGATCCACTAGATAAGTAAACTTGCTACCTCCGCTCGTTCTAATCTCAAAAATGATTCGAAAATTATGATTAAATTTAAATAGGACAGTAGAAACATGAAAACAAAACAGGATTTCATCTGGGCACACCCTGCTTGCACTCATGTGAGAGCTTTTCTGTTAATAACTCTTTAACAAAACAAAAGATCATTCGTGACCCGATTTGGAAAAAAATACATAAGATACAAAATAAGATTCTATAAAAAGAAAAGTAGTGCAATTCATGAACAAAAAACATGAACAATAAAAAATTACACACTTTTAATAAAAACAAAGTCAAAATTTGACTTTTCAGCAAAAGTTCATGAATAAATGTTATGCTACAGAACATTTATTCCTGAACTTTTGCTGAAAAGTTAAATATTGATATATAAGTTAACAAAACAGCACCCTAAAATTTTTTTTCACTCCTATGCAGTTAAAAGAACAAAATGGTTTAAATTTTCAATCAAAATCTCCCGTTTCTTAAATGTGTTTTTCTTGTTTCTACAACAATAGACAACCATAGACCTACACCTCCTAGAAAAAAGAAGGCGAATCAATTTAGTTGTCCGACGTAACGAACTTAAACTGCGCAGTGGGGAACGTTACGAAAGATGTCCTTTCTTTCTTCTTCAGATGTTCGGACTACTAAAGGATCGGATTTCTCGTTTATAGTAACCAGTGAGGAGGTCAAGGAAGTGCTTTCAAGGAAGTGCTGCATAGATGAAGCACTTTGATTGGACAAACGTAGCTCAACAGTATTTGCTACTCTTTCTTTTTGTATATATGTTTCACATTCCCCCGAAAAAACGATCTGAAGATTTCCTTTATAATATCCCTTGTGAATTATTTAATTCGCGACTTATGTTGAGCAAATACAATTGCTAATTTCAGGCAAGAGACGTCGAACAAACGTTGATGGAACGTACCAGACAAGTCTGCCACTTGAGGTGGGAATTGCTACACAGAGATATGTCAGCCGTACTCCTACAAGCTGCCTTGCACAGAGTTACTAGTCAGGGCGAGCCTGTGACCATACTTCCCACCTGGGACAAGAGAAGAAACAGATTCAAAAACATAAAGGCCTGGTCAGTCGATACTACAACCCGTAGACCGTCTGAGGTGAGACATTCATTACTTTCAAACTACTGATAAAAAGATTTGGAAAAAAAAAACATCAATTTTAGCTTTTGACATAAATATTCCTTACGGAAGAGTGTCAAAAAATGAAAATTGCAAATCAGTGAATGAGTTTTTTAAGTTAAAACTCGTAAGTCGATTGTCAAGTTAAGTTGAACCAATTAAGTCTATGGTCGAGTGATTCTAAAGGCCGAAAAATTTTAAGAGTTTTTGCTTCTTAGAAATTTAACACGTTGATGCCACGCTAATTTTACATGGCTTGCCCGTCTGTCCAAAATGATTTTCTCAGTATGCGTTGCATATTTTGATAAAATATTATTTACAACAAAACAGTTAATTTTTGTAATCATACGTGACGCATTTAATTCACTGAGGACACCGGTGACCCCCACGGCGCTGAAAGGCACTCTCATTTTATTTGCTAATTCTTATTGCTATTTGTTCTATTGCCAAAACTATTTTTGTGTGTTCTATGTTGCAATAACTTCTTCAAACCATTTTAGTAACGATAATATTAAAAAAATTAAAAGCATTAAAAATTTACTCGAATTATGAGTTTCTAATAATCTTGGCCTCGCCGGTCACCGGTGACCTCCATGGCATCCAACGTGCTAATTGAATGAGAATTGAGGGTCAATCAATTAGTGCGAACGTTAAGAACTTATTTTAAATTAATTATCAGCTGGTAATAATATTTGTATCTACTTTTACATAGTTTCTCGTATTTTGTTGGATTTTACCCTTCTACGCAAATGTGTCTAATATATATTTTTGCTGACGCTCTATTTGCAAGCAAAAATGTATTTTAGTTTTTTTTACTTATAAAAAGCAGTCTAATGTGTATTTAACAAAAAAATCTGTTAAATTACCGGAATTACGTTTGTTCTAAAATATAAAAAAAAAGTAGTTTGGAAAAAAAATTTCATTCATATTCGACAATTTATCAATGATTTATTTTGTTAAGTAAAGAAATTTCAGTGGTAAATATAACTGTATCTTTTAGATATAAATAACTGCAAATAAGTACAAATTTGAAAAATTATATTTTTAGAAGTGATCCGTATTTCGAAGATTTTACCTTCAACGCAGAAAAAGACACCAGTGTTTCATGCTGTATTCATAACCAAATATTATTAACCCCTTCCTTTTCGCTCCCGTGATATTTCCGGGCTGGAGTGTACACTAGTAACGCGCCAATAGGAATTTAACTAACTCATATCTTTTGCCCGGAAAACATTTTATTTCTCATTTTACACAATAGATGGCAGTAACAGGACATTTTTAAGGTAATTGTAGATAGTTAGTTTATTTTAAACTAGATGTCAGCAGTAATCAAATAGTACTAATAAAAAATAGGCACTTTTATGACCGTTTTCTTGAAAATTAACCGATCGTTAAGGGGTTAAAATTAATGCAAAAAAGTAGCAAAAATATGTTTAATAAAAATTCTACGTTAAAGGGTTAAGTTTCCAGTCACGGGAAAAATAAAAATAAAAACATCAATTTTACCTACTTCTCTAATCTTCCTTTGAAATAACACTCAAGTTCTTAACTTTCTAACAATTTCAGTGATACTTTTAAGAGACTTCTTCTTTTCAGCTTAAGAGAAATTTCATTCTTCAAGCCCGCAAGACAATACTGCTCTACTTTTAACTATATTGTCGTTCTCATATTCATTTGCTATTTTTTAACAGGGTGCGTAGCCAAATTATTCGATAAAAAATAAGCACTTTTCAAGCACTCAAAAATATTTTTAAGTACTTTAAAAAAATATCATAATTAGTCAGGGTTGGAAAGTTTTTGACAATTGACGGTTTTATCTTGTTGTATCCGCCATGTTGGAAAAAAAATTGGCTTTGTTTTTGACAATTGTCAAAAATCATGAAATTTTGAATCATGCAAAACGAATGGCGTTTTCATACGCCATGAACTGACAATACTCCGAAATAGATTGGGGTTGATTTAATTGCGAAAGCGTTGAATAGAACAATGTGAACTTCGTCTTTTTGCATAATTCAAAGCGAAAATCAACATGGCATGGTAAAGGAAAAATCTCATTTTGAAAAAGGGAAAATTAAGCACTTTTTAAAAACACCAAATGAAAAAAGCACCTTTAAGGGCTTTTAAAAAACGAAAATCGAAAATAAGCACCTTTAAGCACTTTTTAAAAACGCTACGCACCCTGTTTAATAGTCCTCAAGATGCAAGACATAATTTATTGTAATAAGCAGTAAGTTTTTTTGTTTTGTTTTTATTTAGTGACAAGATAACTCTTTTGGTCTGCGAAAAAAATGGGGAATATTTTTGGGAGTGATTTAACTGCATTATTAGCTGAGCTATTCGATAATAATATGTGTGTACCGCATTATTTTCAGCTCATAAAATTTAATTATTATTAATTATTACAGGATTTAGTTTCTGATGACTGGTTGCAAGAAAGACTTAAACAGCTGTCTATGACACCATACAATGACTGGGCTAATATTGACTTCTCTCCCAATGACCTCATGACCACAGCTCATGAATTGAAGAGAGAAACTATAGGATTATCATTGTATAAACCAGGTAACAAGCACAATATCAAAAATGTATCTTTATTTCATTTCTCTAAAGTGTTTATAAATTGACAAATATAATTATAAATGTATAAGTCATGTGTTTCCATCCACTGTTATAAAAATTGATTCAAGGATTGTATCATAAAATCGGTAATAATTCCGGTGTTTTGAACTATTAGGGGGACCGGAAAGTGATGTCGTTTAGGTACATTAAATATTCATTAGTCTTAAAAACCAATTCATTTTCGATCCGACATTGAAAGGTTGTCTCTCACAAGGATGAATACCTTACAGATTAAAAATAAAATCTTGACAAAAAATATCAAATACACCGAAACAACATTACTTTCCGTTCCCCCTAATTTAATATTTTGCAATTTGCTGCTATCTTAATAAGATATAGACAGGATCTTATTTTTGTTGATTCATAGTATCGTGTAAACAAAAAATCTATGAAATCTAGTTTTTCTCAACTGCAGAAAATTTACTCTGCACTATTACGGCACTTTGAACCAAAATGTTTTCAAGTATGATGTAATCTGAATAATATATAGACTGGATCTTGTCTTTTCATTTAACTCATAGTATCGTGTAATTAAATTAAAGATGGTGGGACATGCAGGTCAATGGAATATAATTCTTGCTCAACAGCGGCAAATTTGCATGCTATTATGGTGCAACGTTTATTTTTAACAGTTTAGAAAGTAAAGCGTCTAAGCCGATTCTAAACAATAGCAGGTGTTTTTAATTCAGAGTGAAATCCTTAAGATTTCCGGTATATCCATCATATATTTAGAATAATATTAATACATATTTAATTAATATATAATAAGATGATGCGTGAACAGGCCTTGATATTCTAGGAAGTTTTATTCTTAAAATTGTATTTAAATTTACTATTTATTTTACCAGTTATAAAATTTTTCTGTATCTTATAAATTTTAACAGGTCGTGAGTCATAAATCGATTTAAGAAAATTAATAATATGAAATGATTAAATGTCATTTTTTGAGAGTTACCTTCAGATTTTTATATTTTCAGCTAAAATTAAATGAATTAATAACCCAAGTCTTATTGTAAACAGAGTACAAGTTACACGAAAAAATCATCAATATAGGATTACAAAATTTTTAATTTTGACAAACTCAATGTGTGTGTGCATACATATATATATTGTCACATTTACACTTAATGTAAAGTGACAAATTAATATCTAATTTTATCTAAGCCTTTAATTTTTCTTTATCGTTATTCCTTTTTTTCAATTTAGCAATTTTTTTAACTTTCTTGTTGACCTTTCTCATGGTCATTGCGGTCATCGCACTTCCTGTGGGGAAAGTCAACCAACCCCTCTATTCACGCCTTTCTTTTTCTTCTTTTAATTTTAGGGGGGCTAACTAACCAATCTCTTTCCTTTAAATTTCAAACTCTCCGCCTCTTTAAATTTAATTGGCCGTAATTTTTCTGGTCCTATACCAGTTAAGGAATTTAAAGTCTTTTTTTTAATACATTCTCTTTTTCTCCAGCCTTCGGGCAGGTTCCCTTTTTTTGTCGGAGATGCGGACTTCGGTCCGTATCGAGGGATTTCTTTTTACATTTTTTCTTAACCTTTATCTTAAATTAAATCCATAACTATAATAAATTTCTGTAAAATTTAAATCAACATTTCATACCTTTAATTTTCCTTAACATTAAAAAAAAATCCTTCTCGAATTTAAGCTTTCTTTCCACATTTATATTAATTACTCGTTCTTTTATATTTTACTTTTATCTATGACGCCTTCTGTGTTTTAATTCTCCCGTCACCCATTTCAATAAAATGCCTTTCTTGTGTTGGTAGATGTGGTGAAAGATGTATGTTCTAAATAAAATATGTTAATAATTTAATCTTGTGCTGGAGAATTTATTTGCCTCTATTTTCATGATTTATCATGTCCTCCTGTATGTATGTGGTGAGTACCTTTTTTTATTGTTATGGGCATTTACTTTCTCTCTTTGGAAACATCACAAAAATTGCATTGAATGATATATTTATGCTTGGATATAGCATGTCTTTTATCGTATTTATCATTAATCTTTAATTTTCTTAGTTTTCACCCTTATTCTAAATTCGGTGATACCAATATATCCAATTTGTTCAAACCTCACACTTTGTGACCCTTTGAACCTATTGGGTTATTGTTATCCCACAATTGCATTGTACAACCACTTTCATTAACGATCACATTCCCCTTAATTTAATTTGATTACCTTATATATGTTTCGGCCTTTAATTTGCTTTTTCATGACATTTCAATCATTTTACCTATTTTAATCATGACTATATCCAGAGATACATCCAATTATGCAACCCATCCATAATAATAATAATGCATAAATAACCTTATCTTATACGCACCAAAATATATATTTTTATTTAACTCTTACATAAATATATATATATATATATATATATATATTTATTNATATAAACTTTTCAGCATCGGTACAGTAAAGTAAGATAATGCAATCTTACTTAAAATTGAGATAATCTTTCTTTTTTTTTTTTTTCAGAGGGAATTTCAGACTCTGAAGAAAAAAAATCTGCTACATGTTCCGGTGACTCTGAGGTAAAAAGTTCATCGAATCTTATTATCAAATATATAAATTTCATTACTCTTTACAGTTTATGAATTTCAGTCGCATTAAAATGCTAAAATACTAATTTTAGTCGCATTAAAATAGTTAGAAATAGTTTTAATTGTAAATCTATATTAACTATTCCGTCCAAAGTCTTTTGGAAGATTAATTATACTGTTGTTAATTAGTTTCGTTACGGTGACAGGTAAGCCGTGGACAAAGTCATTTTACTATATAAATTTAATTACAAATGTTAAAACTATACACATTAATGCAAGCTCGCAAATGCCTTAACTTAAACTAACACTAAATTAACATTTTACATAACATTGTTTTTAAGACATTATAACTCTAAAATATTGATTTATTTTGGGTATTACCACATTGAAATTCGAAAAGTACAAAGATGTTAAGCACTTATGACATAGAAATATTTTAACGAATTCCAGTAAATGTTTACTGTATGGAATATTTTAATCAAAATGTATTATTTTAACTACATTTAGCTGTACTGGCAAGTTTAACTGTTTTTATGACAAATTGTTTTGTCGAATTGGTTCAGGTAAAATGGCATAATTGCGATAACTGCTATATTGCGATAAAATGAAGAAAAAAAATTCTTTTAAATCGATATTTTGTACTTTACTGTATAGAATTCAATTGAGTAAAAACTGTATCTGACGCTAAAATAAAAAAAGAATAGGAAACGAGCAAAACAAAGGTCAAGATTACTTTGAGGTTATAAATCCTCAATTTTTCTAAATAAGAGTAATACTCCCTAACCCCTTAACGATCGGTTAATTTTCAAGAAAACGGTCGTAAAAGTGCCTATTTGTTTGGCTTTTGTATTTGAGTTACGTATTTGATTAGTGCTGATATCTAATTTAAAATAAACCAACTATCTACATTTACCTTAAAAATATCGTGGTACTGCCATCTGGTGTGTAAAATGAGAAAATTTTTTCCGGGCAAAAGAATTAATTAGTTTTATTCTTATTGGCGCGTTACTACTGAAGACTCCAGCCCGTTAATATCACGGGAGCGAGAAATAGAGCGCGAAACCTCATCCCGTCATTTTCACGGGAGCGAGAAGAAAGGGGTTAATAAACAAATGTTGGAGATTGGCTCAAAATAACGTGTACCAATAGGCGATCGAAATTGGCTTAGTATGTGAATCGCGATAGAAGGATAGTTGAGACATTAGTTTCTGTCTTGATTTTCAAACAAGTTAAAAACCTTTAAGTTAGGAAACTATATGGAACTTAAAACTGCATTAAACAAGGATCTCAGAGCGGAAGCGTAGTGGAAATTTTGAAAATTCCCTGAGAATTATTCTCATGCAACAGAGCAAAGGAGGAGAGGGACAAACATGGTATCGGTCTTCACCCTAGATGACGTTTTCGAACATGTCAATCGTGAATTATACCTATATTTAAATCCCACGTCTAAAAATTAAAATCAATTAAGTTTAAAAAAAGAACTTCAGATTTGTTGGCTTCTAATAGCTAAACTTAAATATCATTTATTTTTCCTCTAAAGATGGCAGACAGCGATCGTTACTATGACACTGGATCAGCAGTAAACAGTCGATCTTCTTCCTTTTCGAGTGGACCTGGTGGTCTGAGAGGATCTCACTCAGACACGAGGTTGTACGAAAGAACACGAGCCCTCCGTCGAAATTCCTCGAGCAGTATGAGCTGCGTGGAAGCTAGTGATAGTTCAAGCCTGCACGACAGCAGCGACAGAGCTCACTTTATGATCAAAAAATTCCCCTGGAGAACACAATGGAGATCTTTGGATAATGTTTCATCCTCTTGCTCTTCTAGAAGGTAAACCATTCATTTTTGTTGACTTCAAATATTACTTAAGCACTTAAAAGGGTCTGAGAGTAAGCATTGCATAGTGGTAAGCCACGAACGAGCGGTTAATCCTCACTTCGGCCGGAACACGCTATTGGTCGAAAATGACATCACTATTTGGGGGCAGGGAGATGGTGGCTATTGGCTGGTGTTTGCATGATTTTGGCGACAAATTTCGTATTCACACGTGCTCGCTTGGAATTTATTCCTTCTTTTATCTTTTACAGTTATAAAGTAACAAAAATTGAAATAAATACAAGCTCAAATTTACTACTACATCCTACATCGTAATTTAGTTGTGTTATGAATAATTTTAAAAACTTCATAATCAAGCAACATGTAAATTTAGTTTAAAGTAATGACCAAAATTCTGGGGTGGCCCCCTGCATTTCTAGATCAACCCCAGTTGCCCATGACGTAAAAGCAGTATAGTTTAATATCACTTACTTAGATTCTAACAAAAATTACCACAAAACTGTGAATATTGTCTTTATTACTTAACATTAATACCACGTGTAAACAGAGCGCGTTTGAAAACTAAATATAAAATCTGTCGCCAAAATATTATGCAATACACAGCAAGGGTCTTCCCCCAAACAGTGATGTGATTTTCAACTAATAGTGTGATCCGGCCGAAGTGAGGATTAATCGCTCGTGGTGAGCCTTAACCATATACTGGGGGTGTTGGGCCTAGATTCTGCTACCGGTGACGGCATGAGCAGATGGCAAATCAACAGAGAGCGTCTTAAATCCCCCCCCCCGAAAAAATATCTAATTATTTGAAAGGCCTAAAAATACTTTAGATATAAAGTTATTTTCACTGTCTTTTTTATTAAATAAAATAACAAATAATTATAAAGATATTTCAAAATATTGAACTTGCAAAAGGACACCGATACTTACATTTAATTGCTTACCTCCATTCTAATAATGATTTTTGGAATTATGCAATATTTCGAAATGAAAAAAAACCTACAGATGATTGGCAATCAAAATGTGCTACAGGTGGCGTAGAGTAGACTCTTTACCTATGGCAACACTTCGTATGTTTTCCCCATTAGCGTGTGGTAGGTAGGTACTTTATTTACGTCGCACTAGAGTTGTACAATGGGCTATTGGCGACGGTCTGGGAAACATCCCTGAGGATGATCCGAAGACGTGCCATCGCAATTTTGATCCTGTACAGAGGGGATGGCTCCTTTGCTTTTGGTAGCCCGACGACCAGCACGCGAAGTTGAGCACTTCACGGTAGAACAGTTTAACAAGAACCGATACAGCGCACCCTCGGTCCCTAAGCAGGCTGATCAAAGTGGTCACCCACCCGCTTACTGACCGCAGCCAGTGATACTTGACTTGTGTCCTACTGGGAACAGTGTCCTTACGATCAGTCCACTGCGGGACCCATTAGCGAGTGGAGAGTCATGGGAGAAAGAATTACGTTAGTTTCTGTTTTGATTTTCAAATAGATTTAAAAAAAATTAGGTTAGGAAACTATATGGAAATGAAACCTACATTAAAAATAGTTCAAAAAGCGTAGTGGGAATTTTAAAAAATGTTTTTGATAATTAAATACGAAAAATGTTAAGAAAGAGGAAAATATCGTAGTTCCTATGGATGGTGTTTTCTACACTAGGGAGCGCTGCCAGCCTTATCTGCCTATAGCTCCGGATTACTATTTTTGGTGTGCCATCATTATGTTTTGAGACTCTCTTGAGTAGTATTGTGCGGCTTTGAGGAGAACTCCAGGCTTAAAGTCTAAGTCTGTCCGCTGCTATGGTAACGAGCGAGAGCACATTTCTAATGGGAGTGCAATGGAGGAATGAAGGTCTCGGTTGGTTTATTCATGCTGACCTATACCAAGATCAAGACAAAACTATTCACCCCACACCTCTATTCGAAGTGACGTTTCCTCGTAACCATGGTACCAGCCACGACGCGAGACTTGGAGTTCTCCTGAAAGCCGCACTATATTTCTTGCATACGCGTATTTGTTATTTGTGCTTAAAAGATGAATCGTTATAAAAATCGTCATTTCAAGACGTAAGAATTGTCATTTGAAAAAAAAAATCGTCGTAAAACACCTCTTACCTTGTTAACAATGTTCCAACTTCGAGATTTAAATCTAAATGATAATTTATAAAATGAACTTAATCTCGCTGCTCGAACAATAAGGTGCACGGCTTGCACCAAGAGCAAACAGTAAAAAAAATAAGTAAAAAGAAGCCAAATCAGAACTGTCAAATAAGTGAGTTTTTTCTAAATCTAGCAACTATGTCACCTTTTTTAACAATACATCTCTAAATAACTAAAACAAATTTTCACTTCAAACTCCCCAAAATTACCTAATATCATTAATATCTTATGAAATACAGCAGATTGGAGCTCAGAAATTATATAATTTATTTAATTTATTAAAAAAAAATTATCTGTTTGAAAATATCGCTTCGCAGAATAAACTGCATTTATATTGAAAACACCAGCTATACAACTAAGAAGATGAGGAGGAGAGAGGGAGAGTCGAGACATGGAACCAGTCTTCTCCCCAGATGGCGTATTCGAGCGTTGTGGTCGCGAGTAGAAATGTTATTTTACCATGTGATTAGATTTTATACATTTCATAATATGTATGTAAAATCTATATTATGAAGTCTAAAACAAACACGTCTATAAACTATATAAGCCATGCAATGCAATGATAGAAGTATTCGTTTAGGGTTTAAGACTTGAGCAAAAAGGTGTTTTCTAAATTATGTCACTCTGGGAATCAATTTCCAGCAATTTTTTGAAATACAAAAATTAAAAAACTTAATAGAATAATTTGAAACATATTTTTAAAAAGTCAATCAATATTTATATTAAAAGAAAGCACTTAAAGTATTATTTTATAATCAGGAAGAAAAAAAATTATAGTATGCATCTGTGAAAAATATTTTCTGATAAGTAAAAAATTAGAACTTGCATAAATGACAAAGATTCGCTGCACATACAAATTAAAAAATTTTTTGTTAATTTTTAAATGTTCATTTTCCAAATAATTGATTTTTAAACCCTTAAATATAACTCAGGTTTTCAACTGATAAGATTCTAAATTTGACAGCATGCATAAATCCACTTTCTGTGAAGTTATGAAACAGTTCTATTCCTACATAGTTTTTAACTGTATGTTTTTTTTAGCTCAATACAAGATGAAGACATCAGCAAAATGCACTGGCGGTCGACTAGATCACGAAGCAGAGACCACGATGCATATCAGCATGACGATACATCGTACAGTCACTTACAACAGAAATATGGAAGCTTCAAAGAAATGGACGAAGAGGCTGAAGAACCTAAAGCTGACGTTTCACCAGAATGGGGCAACCAATGCCTCATAACACCAACAGCTATGCATTTAGCACGCATTTCAGATACTGAATCAGAAAAAAGCAGAGGCTCACCCCTATCACATTTCGGACGAGCCAAACAAGTTAACATGGCAGGTGGATTCTCAAAGACATCAAGATTCCGTCCTAAGGAATTTGCTCATCCCCAACAATATTCCATCAAGCCATTTCAAGTGCAGGAAGAGGAACCTCAATTTCCTATAGAATGTCACATGCTTACTTCCATAAGTGCTGGTGCTGAAATTGCTTATGAATACGGACATAAGAATCTGGCTTATCAGAGCAACACTGATGGTAGTGTGGAGTCATTAGATAAATACGAAACAGCCATTAGAGATGAGGAGTTAACGATGAGCGACCATCAGCAATCTGGATTGCAACGTATTGACAGTGATCAAGAAACTAGAATATTGCAAACTTTTTCAGGCAAAAGGAATGTCGAAGATCATTCATCTCAGCCCATTATATCAGAAGTTCACGAATCTTATCCACACCACAGTGGTATATCTAATTATAGAGAAAAAGAGCAAACAGGGTGCAATTCATTATTAGAAGAATCAAAACAGTCAGCACCAGGATCACCAAACATTTCAAAGATCAGGTATAAAGGAACAAAAGGTTTTGGGCATTCGCCTCGACAGCCTTATAAAGAAGTAGAGGATATGTCTTTTGAAAATACTAAAAGTGATAAAAATAATGAATCATTGCATAACGTTCCTAGAGAATTTAACTTATAACGTATGTATAAATGCCATAAGACATTCTGTACTGAGGTAAATTTTTTTTAAAGTTTTTCATATTGTATATAAAAGACAAGAAAATAAATTTTAAAGATAATCTCAATTTGTGTTTTTTCTTTTCCAGAATATCTTAGGTGCTTATTAAACGTAAATTAGTATTATTAATGTAAATTTCCCAAAAAGAAAAAGAAACACAGATATCAATCAATTACATTTAAAAAAAGTTCCCAGTCTACAATCTAATTATATATCACATAAAACTATACTAACTTAACAAAAACAATAGAACATACCCTTGAATAAAGCTTAATACGGCTAATTAAGGAGATTCAAACAATGGTAAATGTACAATTGAAAAGTGTGCCAAGTCTTGTTATTTCTGATTCATAATCTTATACGTTTCCTAATATTTAACTATCAGCTAAAAGTAATTTCAATAGGTAGATGCATTAATTTTCAAAACTCATTGAATAAAAGCACTCAATTCAAAGAATTTTCAAAGCTTTATTTAAACCATATGAACACATCTCATTAAACTTCTTGCAACTAACAATACATAAGCATATAAGTTAAGACTAAACTCTAGGAAACAAAATATTTCATATTAAAATATTCATCAACAAAAATTCAAGACAATTCCAGCGGGCAAGCTTTTTAGACACATTCCATCACGCATTGCACGCTCAGAGATTTTACAAAAAAACACAGTTTTCAACTTTTCTTCCTTGCACATTTTATCTGAGAGTTTTAAAAACACTAGTAGAACATCTACAGATAGGTTGAAGTGGGACACGACAGTGCACTAGAACAAAAATGACGGTCACTGGTGACGGTTCCTCTCGGCAAAGGAAAACATATATTAGAAATACTTTTTTTCATGATAAACAAACATTAAATGTGTTATAATCATCTGTCATGGAATATATATTTTGCTGTACAAGAATGTTGTTATGGCACACCATTTGACTTGGTGGTTGAATGAAAAATTTGAAAGAATGGGCAAACATCCGTGATCAGCACATAGATGAAATTTTTCCTGCTTTCAAATGATGAAAAATACCTTTAAGCATGCTCTTTATTCTTCTGAGCCTAGGTGAGAATCCTCCTGCTTGGAGGAATCACCATCACTCATGAATTGGTTCAGAATCACCTCCACGCTGTGGCGAAGATCTTCAGTTCCAGACTCCTCGTGATCACCATCGTCATTATCACCAGTTGTAACAGTAGTTACAATTCTAAAAAAATTAACAAAATTACAAGAAAACTTTATGATTGTTCAAATCTACAATATAATACTTTGCTTGTTGCTCTTGTGCAATGCATTTGAAAACAGCTATAACAGTTTCAATTCATATAAATTCAGAAATATTCTAAGAAAGCATTACTTCTTTTGCAGTATTATTTTACTAACGAAACACTCCAGAACTCTTGAATACAAAAAAGTGACTTTATAAAGGATTTATAAAAAAAAAATAGTAAGTGTGACTAAGACAAATTTCATACACTTTATACCTAAGCAGAAATTTGTAGAAGAACGTTAAAACTAGCTAAAAAAATATTCTGAAATAATGAAATTCTGAAAAAATTAATATTCTGAAAATAGCTCTCAAAAGATTATTTTCAACAACTTGTTATATAAATGATTAGCAGATTGTCTGAGAAGTAAAGGTGGTTGGTGCACAGTGCTGACAATATTGTCTTCACTATGCCATTGATCCTGCAGTTGCTGAGTCTTAACCTCCATGACCTCCAGGTTGGAAACAGTTTGCAAATAGTGTATTAATGCATATTTTCCATTTAAGTACCTTTCAGCGTATTATTTCATAAAATTATTTTCAGCAGTACATACTCGAACATTATAAAATTCTTTCTAAATCCCCTTAAAACTTCTTTCTCAATTATTTTATCACTTAAGATTTCTTTAATTTTATGGGCAATACTATGCACATATTACTTTAATTTTATGTGTATTACTACTGAAACATAAAGCTTCAATTTAGAGCTTCCTAATTTTAACATGCACTGAAAATATAATTTTTTACATTTGAAATGAAACCATTATTTCACTTATTTATTTAGAGTATGCCATGAGTTTATACGTATTCTAAAAAATTGGAAGCAAAAATTATTAATTTTTTACATAGTAGTAAACAGCTTTCCTTAGCAATAAAATATAAAAATTAGTTATTAATTTCATTGGCAGCACATAATACCACAGCTTCCTGCAAAACATGCATCATCCATCAACTTTTTTTTCCCAAACTTTTTCCTGATGCAATAAAATTTTCCTGATTTTCGTAACTAGCCACATAAATTTTATTATCAATTTTTCAATTAAGTATCACTGTTAAACATAAAATATATTCACTTTCTTGAAGCTTTGTACAAGCACAAAAATCCTTTTTACAATTAGTTTTAACTGTGTCTAAAGTATTACCTAGTAGTAGTAGTTGTGGTTGATCTACTTAGAAGGTCATCACTATCAAAAGCAGCATCACCTAAACATAAAAAAAGGGAAAACTCATTTTAGGATTTACAGTGAAGTAGAACAACAACAGTCATTTGACACATTGACAAGAAATGAACTCTTATAAATTATTTGCACTAATTGGCATAACAAGAATATTTATTTCAATTTTAACAGACTTTATTAATTCATAATCAACAAAATTACTTTAATAAATTAAAAAAATTTAAAAATTCTTACAAAATTTGAAAACCCGTAACTGATTTATTTGATTCACTAAAAAATATTAGCAAACAAATGCTAAAAATAACTTGTGGCATTAAACAATTCCCATGGAATCTTATAGGGCTAAATTTTGAGCAACTCATGACACAGTATATTGAACTTTTATTTTATAACAAATAGAGCTAAAAAAATTATTACCAACGATTTCATTGTTTCTTTCTTCCCTACACATTTTTTTTTTCAAATTTACTGATTGGTTATAAAAAAGACTGACTTCAAATAAAAAATAGATTATAAAATAAACTTATTACATTTAATAAAGGTTTACTGAATATACAGACAGCCAAGTTGCAATGTTCCCAATGCAAAATTATTATATAACTACACAACATTTTTTTAATATACTTTAAATAAAGAAACTTATTAATTGTGAATGCAGATTAATTAAATTAAAATGGTTCAGTCAGTAGTTAGTGCAGAAATTTATGTGCATAAAAAAAAGGCAAAAGTTTATTAAATTTAGCAGATTATAGGTGTTTTGTAGTGTCATTATATTAGAAAATTTTCCAACATTTTATAAAAGAAAATAAACATTTAAACATTTTCAAATCTGCAACAAACTTTCCATAAGTATTGTTAAAAATCCAATCTGAAAGTGGTACTATTTCATTTCAAACTCAGACATCATTTATTAAAACTATAGGTAATATCATACAAAATGTAATTTCCAAGGCTTTATAAAAGGTTGATTATTAACAATTAGTGCATATAATTTTTAATACACAACAGCAATACAGTGAAAAAGAAAAGAAAATATCTGGTATAAAAATTTTTAAATTATTAAAAAAAAAAATCTTATATTCAGCACAGAAACTCAATACTGAAAAAAATTACAACATTAAAATAATTTTATATTTGAAAAAATAAATTTAACAAGATAGTTAACCAATATAAATTATATAAGACTTCTTAGAATAAATTCACCAATCCTGTAAAATGTATTAAAAATTAATTTATTGTAATATTTTTTTATAAAGTGTACAGTGCGTTTAATCATAATGGAATGATTTTTCATAATTGCAACATGCAAAATCATAAAAGCAGGGCATTCAAAACCACATATAAATAATAAAAATAATATAATAATAAGCAAATGAAAGAAATACAACAGAATAATAAAACAATAAATAAAATTTCCTCATTTACAAAATTGAATATAGAAACTAATAACTTTAAAGCATAAATCAATGTTTGATATCGGTATAATAAATAGAGCCAACAATACAAAATTGTGATTAAATTATAACAGAAAAACAATTAAAATGATATTATGAGTGTCTTGCATTCTACTATAAATAAACAAATGAAAATAATAATTATAGCTGTAAAAAATATAGCACATGCCAACTTAAAGTCTATGCATAAATTTGCAGATAGAACCGTGCAAAAAGAGGTTCGAAACAAAAAAATAAATAAACATAACTAAAAACATCTCGTACAATTTTTGTAACATCATAGTGGTGCACAACTTTGTTCAACTACCTGACGAACTAATTCCTTGGGCGGCTTCAGTGGACTCTATAAAATCGTCAGGTTCAGTGTGGCGATCAGTACCTTCAATAACATCTGGAAATGAATGAGAAGTGAAATCGTCCATTAATACAGTGTCATCAGTTAATTTTGAAAGAAACATTTCCATTTGTTGCTTAGCTCCATTAGTAGCCTGCAATTCTTCCAATTTACAAGCTAAAGCTCCTTTAGAGGATATCAAAACAGAATCCCCTGATTTGGCTAAGTGAGTAGTTTCACCACTTTCACAAACAGTATAGGTTAAAATAGGCTCCGGCTCTAAAGTGTCAGTACTAGAGACCATAGTGCATTCTTCCCCTGAAGCCTGAGCACTATTTAGGCTCGATGACATAACAGAGTCGGTTTCAAATTGGTATGTAGCATGAGTAGCAGTTGAGCTGCTAGGATCCATAGAATCCGTGCTAGATACCATCAAGTCTAATTTGCCATTAACACAATTTTTTTCACCACTAGAACTAGAATCTTGGGCAATTGTATAGTCTTTGTCTTGAGTAAGCGGCAAGTTTTCAGATTCATCGACATCTGTGTTTCCTTCTTCCTTGCTGGAACTTTTAGTGTTTTCAGAAGTATCTTGCACTTCAGATGTTACCCTTACCAGAACTGTGCATTCATCTGAAGTGATACCTTCAGATGCAGTCTCCTCCTGAAATTTTTCAACATTTGATTGGGTCACTTTGATTAACTCTTCCATTTCTAATCGCCTTTGTTCATATTCTAAGTCTGATGCATCGTGCATGGACTCTTGTAATATTTCTATAGCATCAGAGCACTGACTTTCAATTCCTTCTTCAATTTCAGACAGCATCATTTCTTCCATGGCAGCTTTGTTTTCGCTCTCATTTTCTACACATTCTCGCTCTAGTTTCTCAAATTCAGTCAATGAAGACATAGAAACATCATCATGTTCACCACTCTTAGTGACCATAACTTTTTCACTGGAATCAATTGAAGACCGACTTATTCTACCGGCAGCTATTTCAGCTTCCAATCTCTCAAATTCTTGAAGAGATGAAGCAGCTGACGTATCCCCACTTCTGGGAAAGAATCGACGACCATGAAATGCTTCAGAACTTGGAGTGCTCTGTTTATCATCATCCACAGATGGGATAGGACTAGGATAAACATCAGAACCTCGCAAATCGAACTCGTCTTCTTCATGATGTGTATACAAATCAGTCCCAGGCACTTCATCATATTTTGAAAAAGTATGGGAAGAATAATCTGACTCTGGATTTAAAACATCACTCTCAGTAAATTTTAAAGCAGGTGAAGCATTCATATCATCACTTGGTGACTTATCAGTGCAAGTTGGCTTGACAGACTCATATCGTTCATCTTCAGGAGAAGTATCAATGATCTCTACTCTTTCAAGACTTTCCATGCTCTGACGATCGGGTATTAAATCAGATCTTGTTTCTCTGTGAGACACACCTTCACTGCTACTAGCAGATTCTGCACAAGGAATATTAATTTCACTTTCAAAACTAGGAGGCAAAGAATCACCTCCTGGAAGTAAATCACATTGGTCACTTTCTGGAAGATAACTAGCAAAATCTGAACAGACGAAAGATTCAGATTCATGATTTCTATAGTCATTGAAATTAAATGATTGTTCTTGCTGTGCTTCTGGCTTTTCTGCGTCTAAAGATGATATATTATGAGAATCATAATCAGATGATGAATTGGGAATCTGTGGTTCATCCAAACCTAGATTAAGGCTTTCATGATCAAACTCAAGGTCATGGACATTAGAACTGGATGGAAGTGAGTTGTTATCATTTACAGCTTGAGTGCCAGCAGAACTTCCTTCCAGTTCTAGATCAAATTGTAATCCTTCAGTTTCATAGAGAATTGGAGTTTGATTCTGATTCGTAGTCAGTTCTGAATCATCCCCCTCAGGATTATCATATTCTGGATTATAATCAACTTCAATTGGGCCGTTCAACTGCAAAAAAGAGGAACCATGTTGGGAAGAATAAGATTGTTCAGGAGTAAGCTCTTTTTCAGGGGGAGTTTCTTGAAGAGAGTCTGACATTAAATTAGAACCATCGGCAGGAAAAGATGTGGGAGCATGAGAAGATAACTGTACAGCAGTATCCACACTCGATGTCTGCCACGTTTGCTCACTATGAGTAGCTGAACTTTCAGATACAGACAACTGTTCTTCTTCTATGACAATACTATTTTGTTGTTCCATAAGCTCTTTATCAGGAATGATATCAATGACTGAACTATAAGATCTCCTATGAGATGGACCAGCATGGGGAGATGTTCCAACCTGAGGATAATATTGCACAGTATTCTCACTTTTTACCTTATTTGCACAACCATGTTCTGGCTGTTCAGAAACTTTCAGAGAGGTTTCTCGTGCCTCACTTTTATCTTCACTAGCATCCAAAACTTCAAATTTATCAGTTATTTCCGATTCTGTAGCATATTGCCAAGACCATTGTTGAGGCAATTGTTTCATTTTTTCATCATCACTTGCCCTATTCATTTCCCAACTTGTCATAAATGGCATTTCCACTCCTTCTCTAATAATTGATTCTGGAATTTCCATATCATATGGCTCTTTCACAGACTCCTCAGATGCTGGCTCTTCATCCAAAACTGGCATTTCTAAATCTGGAGCAAATTCTAGTTCCATTTCCTGGGCAGAAGGCACTAAAGTTTCACTGGCTTCTGAAGAAACTTCAACACTGGCTAAATGTCCAGAGCTTTCAGAATCCACAGAATAAGCTGATTCTCTAGAACTATGACTAAATGATGAACATGCTGTTGCATACGAGATCTCTTGAGATGAAACAGCTGTAGCATAAGACCCAGATACCTCACCAGAAGCTCCTTGAGATGATACACAGGTTTCATATTCAGATCCATGACCACTAAATACATTTACATCAAATTCAGATGAACAAGGTCTACTAGCAGCAGGCGTACTTCGTGGAGTCTTTCCACTATCAGATGTTTCAACAGAATAATATGGACTTTCGGTTTCCCCAGAGCTAGAGCATGATTCTTTTTCTTTTTTCCCGGAAGCATCACTTAAATTGTCAAATTTTGAACCCTCTGCATCTGAGTCACTTTTCTTTCCTTGAGAAGACTTACTGTCAGATCTGGACATATGTAAACCTTTATCAGAATGTTCGTTAGATTGAGAAGATAAACTTGAACTGTGAGGTTCCGAAATTACTGGTAACTGATCCTTATCTTGATCTAAATCGGGTTTCTGAGATACTTCAGCTAAATGTTCCTTGCTATCATATTTTTCAGGAAGTTCATGCAAAATTAATTCTTGAGGTGAATCACAAGATTCAATGGATGAATGTTCTTCAATAGTAGAAACTTGCTTTGTAGATTTTAAAGATCGTATTTCCTTTTTATCATGTCGCGAAAAACCTATCTCTTTCGATCTTCTATGCATATCTAAATCTGGGAAAGTGGAACTCATACCAGAAGACATATGGTCATAATCTTGTGATCTAAAATCCAATGTTTCATGTTGTTCTAATCCAAAGAATGGTTTTTGCGCATTCATAGAATCTGACGCCAAAGCTTGAAGTTGTTCAGTGAGTGAATGTTCATCAATTGCTTCTTCATACTCAACCAAATGATCATCATGTTCCACAACTATACCTTCTGAAGATATATCATCTGTAAGGCCACAACTCTCCTCAGAGATCTGAGGAGACAAAGACTTCTTGTCCAAGCTTATTTCTAGTTCCAAATCTCTGTGAGAGCTCATTATTTCAGCATTGACAATATGGCTGGGTGAATCAGACTTTTTCATAGAAAAAGCACCCAGCTCTTTTCTTTCTGGAGAGCCACTTTCTATATCCTGACCAAGTTCTTGAGTAAATATTTCAGTTCTAATATGCTTATAAACATTACATTTATGATCATCAGATTCTGAAATACGTTCTAAATCTTCAGCTATTTGCTTTACTTCAAGGGGACTTTCTTCAATTATTTGATCAATTTCTTCTCTAAGAATTTCAGATTTAATATGACTGTCCACAACTGATGATAAGTCATCTAAGTTAGATGGTCTTTTTTTATGACGTCTGGTTTCTTCAATGCTGTCATCATCTACGTCTAGCTTAATTGCTTCATTATGTTCCTCTTGCTTGCATAAGTCAATACTAAATTTTCTTTCAGTTTCATCATCAGAACCAGATGAAAGTGGTCGAACTTGATATGAAGAAATACTCTCTAAAAGTTGTAGCATATATTAGTCATGATAAAATAATTTCATAATTCTACTGCATGCATCGTTACATAAAAAAAACTGTGCAAAAAAAAAAAATCTAATGTCAGCCACAAGAACAGAAGCAGGCATGCTGCATTCTAAATTTGTAGTTCCGATTTCCAAGAAATTGAAGTAATGCTACAAAACATCAAATCATGCACGAGAAATGACACTTCAATATACAACAAAATTTTTCTTTTCATACACAATCAATAATCTTTTACACAATAAAAATAAGAGTCTGAGACATGTTTAAAATATAAACAAAATTGGTTTCACAAAACATGCACAGAAATTAAAGTGAACTATAATATGCAGCAAAATTAAACAATCTTTGCACAAAACAAAAATATTTTTTTAGGAAACACAAATTTTGAAACAAAGAAACTGAGATTTAGTGATTTTTCTCACTATAGAATAGTGTTTGTTTTTCATGAAAAGCATTTGTTAAATAAGTTTCATAATTTTAAATAAATTATTTAACTCTAAGTGTGGAGATTGACAATAAGTCATTTAACTCCATTTCATGGTAATGAGAGGACATGAAACAGAAACAAAAGTAATGAACATATTCAAAATTAAATGAAAAAACTCCGCATGCTGAGGAAAATAAAATTGCAAAACAATCTAACAACTCAACATATGTCGAATAAAAAAAATGCCAATAATAAATAAACATCAGTGAAGTTTAAAAATTTCATTTTCAACAAAACACTAATAAATAAACCAATTAAAACTTCAACAAAAACTCAAATATAACAACAAGCGAGGTTAAAATATCATGTCTCAGATATACACAGGATAAACATTTAAAAATTGGTTACCTATCTGTTTGTAACACATTTTGCATCACTTTTTTCAAAACTACACCTTTTTGAAATCTCTAATAACAGACAAAATTCACCAATTAAGAAATTGTGACCAGTGTAACTTGGAGGAATGCGTGAATTAACATTAAGTAGGACAGGATAAGCTGTATGATGTCAAAAAGTAAACCTAGATACTAATCCATCAAGCAACTTCAAACAGGAATCTATGTTCCATGGCTCAATGCTGAGTGTTGTAAATTTTTGTCACACATGCTAATTTATAGTTACAAATCTTACAGTTAAAAATAAAAACTGATTTATGTTTTAGTAATTTTTAATGCCCAAATGAAATTAAAAAAAAATTATAAATTTTTGTCATTTTCTGTTGTCATGCAGTTTCTTGTTTTAGAATCCTAAATATTAAGAATATGGATAAATATACTAATTCAACTCTCTAATAATTTTGACTTAATACAAATTGCATAGAACTTTTCCTGCTACAAGTTACTCTTTAGTTGAAAAAACACCAGTTTATTTCCTGCAAATGTAATTATGCCAAAAAATAAAAAAATAATCATGGCAAAAAATTTTTTTAAATATAAATTATTGTAAAAACACTTTAAGCTACTGATAAAATGAATTAAATTATTTTTATAAAATAAAGTTTTAATATCTATTAACTGGTACATTATATAATAGCCACATGGCAAAGTGGGGTCGACTGCAGACCCCACTTCCATTTCCTATTCTAATTTCCTCAAAAACAATTGACCTTTCTAATATGTGTTAGTTACCATTCTTTTTATTATTATGCGAAACATCATTAGTCCTATCATAGTTATGAGTAATGATATCTCTCATAATAATTTAAAAATTTGGTTACTAACACACATTAAGGAGAAAATTTTTGAGGAAATATGAATGCAAAATTGAAATTTTGTCCATAATGGATCCCACTTCACAGTGTGAAGTTTAATTTAATATCAATTTACATAGCACTGATAATGTAAATTTATATTTACTTAACGTAAAAAAATCATGTCTCAAACTGGTTTTAGACAAATATGGATTTATTTCAACAATTTTACCTAAATGTAATATAAAAAAATGCAATATTGTAATAAAGCAAGCACGGTCAATTATATCTCACTTGGCCATTCATGTTATTGGAAAAACTTCACAGAACAAAAGTTAAACAACAATGAAAATATGGCACTTAGTTGAAATGAAGGTGCTTTTGCTCCTTAAATCTCAGTTTTATATTTGGTTGATTTTCTTATGAGTAGTATGAGTGTGAATAAAATATTCATTAAGCAATTTTTTCTGGATCATTCCATTATCAATGTGATTATCTTTTTTACCCAATGTAAATATTCGGACCTTTCACGTCTACCTTACAAACCAGTCACACTATCTTTTATTTTATTTTATAACCAGCATGGAACAGCCCACCCAATTTTGAGTTTACGATTTTTAATGTTAACCTACGTAACCTTATAATTTTGAACCCAAACAAGAAGCCAAGGGAACTCCTGGATCAAGCATTGGGACGAACAAGTCTTTGTGGAGGACTTTTTAATGAACTAACCCAAAATTGTTTCACATGGAGAAGAAAACCTACCACTGTTAGCTCAATGACAAGTGGATACTAATACAAGATCGGTCTACAACTGAAGACCTGCCACACGATTTAAAATCCATCATTGAACAGCCAACTCAATTTTAAGTTTACGGTTACTATTGTTTAACTCCGTAGCTTTGTAATTTTGAACTCAATACAGAAGACAGAGTAAATATTGGGAGAAATTTGTCTTCGATGAGGACTTTTTAATAGAAATAACCCACATTTGCATTACATGGAGAAGTAAACTACGGAAACCTCCCACAGTTAGTCTGACAGCAAGGGAACTCAAACTCATGATCACTACTCTCTGTGCTCTACCATTGAGGATATTTTACATCAGCACTATGGTCGGAACAAGTCGGGTGTGGAATTCCTATCAAACAGCCACCGCTGGGATTTGAACCCAAGTCACCTCATTGGGAGGCAAGTACTCTACACTCTGAGCCACCACAGCTCTAGTCATACTATAGTTGAAATCATAGAATGACATAGAATTTAAAAAAACTTATTGATAGTTGGATTTTTTGTTCCTAGTTTACATAAAACATAATGATAGCCAGTAAGTGCTATTAGATCCAATCCTGAATTAAAGACAATACAATACAGATTAGAAGACTATAGCTTAAAATAGTCTTAGAGCTTAAAATTTTTTTTTAATATCAAGCTGCTTAAAAACTAAACAAAATACAATTTTTAAAAAAAATCTATTTGATTCTGTTTTGCGTAGAACATATGAATACATTTTTAATAGCTTCCTTTTTTAAAAAGTAATCAAACATAGTGGCATATTTAATTAATTATTACGGTTTATGAAGATTATTTTTGGTTCCATCCAAACCAAATATAATTGTGTAATCAAGAATGTATGAAATACCAGCACTGTATACAAAGCATGGCAATTTTAGGGAAACTATGAAACATGAAAATCATGGAAAAGAAAAAAAAACATTATTTTCTATGCTTTCTATTTTAAAAAAATATATAAATGAGTTAAAAACCAAAGAAAAATCTTCATTCAATAAATCAATTTTTTTATGAAACACAAATTTTACTACAACTGATTTATTTGGTTATTATTAATAACATCCAATTAAGAAAAACACTGGCGGCAAGATTTTTATACGGTTATTATACTAATTCTAATTATGCTAATTCTGTGATTATGAGTAATATATGGCGATTTCTGAAAATCCATGCCTTTCATATGCAAAACAAAATAAATATAAACCTCTTATTGCACTAAGAAATTACTTTCAACAAATAGTAATGAATCATAACTATATTAATTACAAAAGAATGAAGTAATGAGAGATCATACTCAGCTAATTTATTACTTGGCACTGTATACAACACCTACAAAATAAAATTAGACACCTAGAATCAATCGCTTAAATCATTTCAAACTTGGCTGAAGGATTTTTGGCTTTTCATACATTGCCTAATTTCCTACTTTGTCGGTGTAGACTTGGGCAGCAGATGACAAATCTCAGGCTAATAAGCAAACCTGGACTGATACTACCAGACAGTCTGTCCATGATTTATGAAGAAAATGTGACACAAAGAGAAATATTTCCATGTGGAACACTCTTCACAAAGGCGTTTGCCAAGAGTTTTGACTCAAAAGTTATATATTTTTCTCAGATGAATTCAAAACCAGCAAGATTTCAAATGAATAGAATTCCTCAAAAGCAATAGAATAAAATTTCCAATAAATAAATTACGTTACGTTGCCATAAGTTAGTCATTTAACATCAAATTCAAAAAACAGTGTTCTTTGGAAAATGCATATTCAGAGTTGCCACAGAAAAAAATGAACAATATAGTTATAAAGCATCAAAATAGTTGCCAAAACCATGAAAACAGATGCGTAAATAAGAACAAAAATGTGACCAAAATTTTATTAAATGATTTAATTATCACATACCATGATCTATTTAGTCATGTTGGTAGCAAATATGATAATTTTTATATTAACATTAGTGTTCAAGCACTAAATTTTTATATCAAAAAAATTAGTATATTTGCAGAAAATTAAATAACTTTGAATTACTAGAAATCAAAGTGATTATTCAAATTCGAAATTCTCGCATCATAATATCATATTAAAAATTGAGTTTTTTAAAATCATGAAGAATTTCGTTGAAAAGGCAATTGAGGAACAAAATAGATTTACAATGGAATCTGTGCTAATTGAGCAATTAAATACTCAAATTTGCAATTCAACATTTTTTAAGAAAAAAAATTTCATTGTATTCAGAAGCTACCGTGGGCCAGATTGTCAACCCAATTTATGCTTTTTTTTAAAAAAATTAATAAAAAAAAAACATCCTAAGAGCACAGAAAAGTCTCCCAATAGTCTTCTTTTCCTGAAAATAGTTGCTTTCTTAGGCTTTTCGGGCAAAAAAAGTTGCTATTGTCGCCTAAGTTCGAAAATAGTGGCATTTTAGTCGCCTGTGGCAACCCTGCAAATCACATTTGGGATTAGTAGATAGAAATAACAGGATTAAATAAAATTACCATAGATTCTAAAAGAATAATTAGTGATGTAATCAGGAAATAGTAATAATTAAACATCAGTTTCAAAATAAAATGATGTTTTTTGCTATCTATGAATTATATTTAGGCTGTTTAGATTGAAATAAAGAGAATGGAAAAATTTGGAATATGATGACATGATTTTTTTCAGCAACATAGTTTATTTTTTTCATTTAAATTGCAAATTATTCAAAAACTAATGAAATAATAAGGCTTTACCTGATCCATTCGATCACCATGGGAATACTTCTGGTGATAATTTTGAAACAGAAGCTTGAGAACTGTTTCTTTAAAGGCATTGCTAAGTAAAACTCATAGGATAGAAAGTAACATAATAAGTGATATGCAAGTCATGTCACTTTTAGCATTATTTATTTCTTGTTTTTTACAAGGGATTGTACAGAATATGCATTTGAAAAATTTAGCAATTTTATAAATTGTAATATTCTGTGCATAAAAAATATGCAGAGCATTTTTAGTCAAATATTTTAAAATAAAAAAAAAAGATATAATTGAACTGCTTTAAGTACAATAAAATAACTCACTGAAGGTTCGATGGAAAAATATTTCAGTTTAGTATCTTACTTCTACTAAAATATAATTATTAAAAGTGATAAAAAGTTCAAGAAATGGAAAATTTTAAATATTTTTGTAACTTTGCTAAGCATGAAATTTTTCATTTAATGTGAAAATTCAGTTTAAATTAACACAGATAACAGAGATATAAACAAAATTGAGAGAAAAACGATAAATCTCAGAAAAAAGAATGTATGATTAATTACCATCAAATTTTAAGGGGCAAAATAAAACTTAAAATACATAAAGCTATTAAAGGCTAAAATACATATTTAGCCTTTAAAATGTCAAGAATTTTTTGTTGTTATTAGTGTATTTGCGAAGAGTCAAACTTCTTGATAGGATATGGGATAAAGGCTCACGATCACATTCAAAATCTAACTTGGGGATTATTATACAAGATTATTAATGAAATAAACAAAAGGGTAATTAGACTTAATTGAAAAATTCTATATAAAAATAAGATTAAAAGTGATGCAAAACGTGGTACAAGAAAATCAGTTACTTAAATCAATGATAACAGAAAAAACAAACATTACACAAAATAATACAATATAAAGTTTGAGAATGTAATTTTACATAAGAAAATGAAAACTATCTTTTTTTTAAATAAAATTTAGAAAAACCTCTTCTAATTTTGTTTTCAGTTCCTAATAGTTCCTTAAAATGAGTAAAAGATTTGTACTTACAATAGAAGTAGTAAATTAAGCATTACTTATATATGTATTAATTTTATACTTTTTGAAAAGGAGCACAATTTAAATAATTATTTAATGTTACTTATCTTTCTGTAATAAACTTTTTACAAGAAACTTTGGTATGTTTTTTAGCTATGTCTTTAACACATATTAATATATAAAATTGATATATAAAAGTGATGTATAAAATTAATATATATAAAAGCATTAATTTTAAATATATTAAAAATAATAATAAATCCTCTTAAATGATTAAAGTTACATCATAATATGTGAAGTTCTGATCATTATATCAAAAGACCTTCAAGGCTTTCTTATTTATTTATTTTTTTCCATTATGGTGACTGTAGAATCAAATCAATTCTGCTTAGATCAAACAGAACAAACTAAATTTTTAAAATCATGAGGTATTCCTTTATTACATAAGTCCTTAAAAAAAGAAAAATTATCCGTAAAAAAAAGACATTACTAAGTAATCCTTAAAAGAAGTTAAGTCCTTTTTAAGTTAGATAATCATTGTAAAATGTATATTTAAAAAAAAAAATCTAGATTGATGAATAACATAATTCTAGTAAAAAAAATATTATGTAATAAATACTTCATAAATACAGAAGTAGTGATGAAAAAATAAAAGCAATGATTCAATCTTTGCAAAAAAAGTTCATACTTTTTTGACTAGCTTTTACGAAATGCTGGATTTAAAGCTAATGGAAAATTATGTTATTTATCAACTAAGTGGGTCACAGAAAGATTGATTTTTAAAAGCAATTTTACTTAGTGCTTAAAATCCAGAAAGCTTAAAAGGTTGTAGCAGAAAATAATTAGATTTTAGGCTAGACAAATAACATTTCAAGAAAATAAATAGAACAGAATTAATCTTATATTTCCATTACTTTGAAATGTGAAGCTTCATTCAGCTAACATTTAATACTTTCCTAATAGATAATTTCAGTTTTTTTAAAATTAAAAACACTTATTGCGTAATAAAACATTTTTAAATTTAAATTATACGTTATTGCAATATAAATAAATTTATAATATAAAAGATTTTATTTTTGATTAAAATAAAAAGTTTTTAAAACAGTTTCTCAAATTACAAGAAAAGTTGCTAGCAAAACAGTAACCTGTTATCTAATTGGTTAATGAGATAACAAAAATAAAATTTTTCATATAGATTTGGATGCCCAAGTTAAAATAAAAATTTAAATAATCAAGGCAACAAAACTTTTAAAAAAAGATAGTAACTATGATTCTAAAAATAGTAACTATGATTCTAAAAAAAAAAAGACAAAAAGGAGAAAAGCCACTGAGGCATCTCAAGGTTATGAAACCTAAAAATATTAAGAAAAAAATCCAATAAGGGGGGATAAAGTAAGTTAAACCAAACCTATATTGCTATAAATGTCCATTTTCTTACATGACGTAGAAAAGCAAGATTTGGTCGGTAAACAAACCTCTATAGCCATAACTTCAGCAAATGTCTACATTTTTTTAAAAAAACTAATATTTCTTAATAACTAATACTAGCAATGATTTAAAAAAGGATTTATTCAAAAATATTTATTAATCTATTTACCAGTAAAATTTAAAAAAAAAAAACAATTGTGACAAAAAAAAACTTTTGCTTCAGGCTTTGATTAACAGAAAATTTTGCATTAAAGAAATAGATTATCATGATTTTACTCAAAATATTTACTATTCTATTAATTCTCAAATATTTACTAATCTAATCATTAATAAAATCAAAAAAATATTTAAATTTCTTTTTTGTTTCAGACTATTGTTAACAGAAAATTCTGGAATAATGAAATAGATTATTATACTTTCAGTGCAACATTTTTTTTTTGCTTCAGATTTTTAGTTAACAAAAAATTCTAGAATAATGATATTAAGTTATCATAATTTTAATGCAAATTAAGCAGCAAAAACTAACCTTTAATAAACAACTGAAACAAAAATAAAAAATAAATTGTAATATTCATCAATTCTACAAAAAGAAGTCTCCAGAATACTTTTTGGCATACGTTTTTTTTAAAAAGAAAAAATATGATGGTTGTCATTTCGAGTAAAGAACAAGATAAACACATTCCTCACCATCAGCTTCAATCATCGTTGTATATGATTTTTCTTTAAAGAACTCTACATCTTTGGAAACATCTGTTTCTGATTCATCCCCGAGTCTTTCATCATCAGAAACATGCTTATGATCACCAGGACTCATGCCTTCACTATCACTACATTCGTCTTGATAACTATGCAATTTTTTCTCTTCTTTATCTACTTCACTGATTAAAGAATAAACTTCCTGTTCTACTTTCTCTAATGCAACAGCTGAATGCAATTCAGCTTCTTTTTCTTCCCGCATCGTTTCAGGACTGAGATCCCCGTTGACGATTCCTTCAGCTTTCTCCAATTCAGAGACAATTTGCTCCGCTGATACCGGCTTGTCATTTTTCGTGAAATTGTATAAATAAACAGTTGGTTGCTCAGGCTTTTCTCTTTTTTGAATCTTCTTCCTATTACCTTCATCAGGTTCAAACATCTTGAACTTGTCCTCAAAGCTAATCTGCTCTTGAACAATTTCTCCTTCAGCCATAGGTAGATCGTCCAAAGAGACATCCTGAGCCCACTTTTCCTGAGTGGTGGGCAAAGTGTCTGATGTGAGAGACAACCTTTGGAAGAAGCTCTTCTTTTCAGTAAAACTGAGATCTTCCTGTTCAGAATCTGTCGACTTCTTCTCTTCGTCAGACGATTCCTTCCTTGGAATCTTTCGCAGAGATCGCCGGATACCTGATGTTTAAGAAGGACATCACAATTGAAACAAATACAGTTCTCGAATAAGTGCATAGGTTTCCTTTGTGCCAGTAGCTTCCATGCATTCAAACAAACACTTAAACTTATTTAGTATCCAAGATTATGAAATCAACATGTTCCCTAAACTTCAAATGAACAGTGGGGCATGCACATCCTACATTTTTTTTAACAGAAATGATCATGCAAAAATGTGTGTGAACACCCAATAAATAACAATTACATGCGTATAAATATGATATTTCTTATGGGAACAAAATTATAAATAAATTATATTACAAAACTAAATATTAAAAAATACATTCATAACTCCATCAAAACAGTTTTTAATGCATAAGCAACTTGAAAAAAAATATTTCAGAACTGAACTAAAACAACTCTTGAAACAAAAATACATTTGGTAATCAAAATTTGCATTCAAGCACATAAATTCAATTTGAATACCGAACAAAACACGTACTCTTATGAACATGCTTAACTCTTTAAATTTGAAAATCAGTTTTACCATTGATAGTTTCATTTCTGTTGCCTATTTGTAGATTTAATCATAAAATATGTCACAAATATTTACTAAAAAATTTGTAAAAAAGCCTCAGGGAAAAGATTGAAGTAAATTTTTGGCCCCTAATTAAAAACATTATTCGTAAAAATCATTGCTTAATTTAATAAAGCAACAACAACTAAGCTTATCAACTTGTTCAACTACAACTACCATAATAGTGTAATTTAACAACATGAAAATTGTCTTAAAGCGTAAGTTTATTTAATCATTAATCTCATGCTCCACTTTTCGAAAAAATTCCAACTTCCAAAAAAATACAACTTTAGCAAGTTTAATTCAAAAACATTTTCTGGTGAAAAGGCTTAAAAATAAGAAGTGTAAAGCCCTTCCACAACAACCAGCTGTGGGCCATGGGAATAAACCTCCACAGTTTTGTGACCAATGGCATGATTGTGATAATAATGTGGTCAACATTGTGCACAAGCAGTTTTTAATTCCCAGACAAGCTGGTAACCATTGATCTGAAGCTGGGTAGGATTCAAGCAACCACGGGGGATTGAGTTTCACCTAGCTTTAATTGAATACTCTCATTATTTAGTGCTTATTAGTCACAACACTTACATTTCTATCTAAGTTAGTAATTAGTTTTAAGCATTGTAAATTTGTAAGTATTTACAAACTAATATTTTATTAATTTATTAATTGCTAACATTTGTTTTAAATTAACCTTTGAAAGTGTGATTTGAAACAAATATTTGAAATAAACAAAAGCTTTAACTTACCATATATATGTATTTTGAATAACAATTTTACTATAATTTTTTACGATAATCATCTGATTTCCCTTCCATTTATTAAATTTGGCAATCTGCTACATGGGTCACAAACTTTGTTATAACAAATTAAATATTTATCATAAGAGCACATGTATCAAGAATGTTGTGCAAAACATTCTATAAACCACATTTTAAAATGTCTCACATGAAACAACTTCAAGAAAAGTATGCATTTGCTTAAAATATTTTTCAACACTTGCCACAAACACAGAAAAAAAGAAAATCACAAATTTCGAAATAAATTTTAAAAAAACATACAATCATAAATAGAATGCCCTGCTTTTTTTTAAAAAAAAATCTGTAAATTTTTAATCTGTAATAAAATAATAATTTCATGTAATCAAGCACAATAATAATTAGCATCTAAATTCCATGCATTAAATCAGAAACTTAAGACAGTAAAACATAAAATTAAATTACAAAGAAAATACAGTTTGAAAATTGTGACATGCAACAGACTTACCATCTCCTTCTAATTTTATCGATGTTTCAGTTTTTATTTGTGTAATTTGCCGCACACTACCAGAGTCATCTGTCTCAGTCCATTCTACAGATAAGTTGTAGATAGCTCATTAAGTTGAATTTATTTTTCAAAAGATATGAATATAAAAGCACAAAAAAAATTTCAAAAATTTACAAATTTCAAAAGTCAGAAAAATTCCCAAAATTACTTTATAAGTTTATGAATTATACAAGTCCCTCCATTAAAAAAGCTTAGAAAAGCATATATAATGCATTACCATTGTTTATAATTTTCTAGATTTGATAAAAGTTAAAGCTGAAATAAAAAATTTTAGTTAATATTACATTCACATATTAGAATAACAACAAGGAATGTCAGAGCATTAGAACAAGTGGGATTCTTTTAACTTTATTGCCTTTTTGAAGCATCACCTTTATATTTGATGACTTGTTTACACTTGTGCCCTTAACTACCCTTTGCTATTCTGACATTCCTGATGACAATAATACATAAATGAACTCACCTGGACCATCTAAATCAATTAATTCTTCATCAGTTAAGGAATGAATATCATTATCAGTAACAATCGAGTTTCTCTTCAAATGACGTTGTCGATGACTGTTCTGTGTGACCTCGGAATTGGAAATCTCATCATCCGATAAAGTTTCCATAGTCCAAGAACCTCTCTTGTTGACATTTTTAGGCATTTTAAAATTATTCTTACCTCTGTACCTAAATACATCTTCCAGATCATGGGTTGTGCTAGGTGATTTATTGTCACACAATTCTGGGGTAAAGTCTTCCACATCTGTAAGTTCATCTTCTGCGGGTTCTGATTTTAAAAACTCGAGGCATGTCATTAGAGGGGCTTTAGATTCATCCAATTTTGTAGGTAAAGCCATTCTAACTTCAACTGAAGAAGAAAAGGGATTCATGACATTTAGGTCAGACAGTGTTGTCTGTTTTGAAGAAAATACATCTTTTACAGTCGAAGCAAGATTGGAAACAGACAAGCCAAAAGACAATTTGCGATCTTGTCCTCCTTCCATCAGAGACCCGTTTACCATTTGATTTTTCTTTGAATCAGACTCATCATCAGAAATGTATTCTGCATCAGTATAACATTCCTCCTTGAAAGTTGTACTAGAATGATCAAAACTAGAGGATGATTCTATTTGATGCCTCTTAGAAACACAAGCCATACCGGCAAGATCTATGTTAGGCAAGTTCACATTTTCTGCAATAGATGATTTGTCATCATCAGATAACTCAAACTCTTCAGAAGAGGTAGATTCTATTTTATCACTAAGATCTTTGGTGTAAGGGTAAAACTGCTTGCTTGCAAAAAATCTGGTGTCACAATTATCACTTGAAGTAGAATCAAAAGTTGCTATTTTGGAAACCAACCTATTATTGTAATCAATACTGACAGAGGCCACTTCTGGGTCAGGTACGTCTTTTTTGTCATCCGTATCAGACAGTTGAATATCTTCAAACTCAACTACATTTTCAATAGATTCCTCGGGTGTTGTTTCCATATTTTAAAGCAAAATACTTTCAATTATACAAATAGAATCAGTAGAATTTATGTTGATTCAAGTTTTAGTGTATGATTGAATCTGTAAATATTACCAAAAATTATTTTCAAAATCCTGCCAGAGACATATGAAGGAAATTACTATCAAGTTCGGATTGTAGACTCAAGAAGAAGAAAAAATTACTGTTATAATCTTGATATAAGGCGCAGGATGAAAATTACTGCAGCAGCAGAATTTTATAATAAATTATAAAGATTAGGTTCTGAAACCCACAATAAAACTTAGAATTTTCTAAAAAATATATGAAAAAAATTTAAGGATTAAAACAACTAGGACTTTAAAACAAATCATAAAAGATGTCTTGGGATTGAAAGGTTCATCACTTTTTTAATTCTTAATTCTTATAAAACAAATTAAATTAACATTTTTTTTTTAAATATATAAAATTCAAATTGCAATAAATAAATATATAATTGTAGGGCTATGACTTATGTTTTGCTTCATGTACAGTATATTCTAATCTATCAAACTAGAGAATATTATTAGCAAATAAACTAGTTACAATATTTAAAACAAATCAAATACCTTAATGTTTTTATTTATTTAAAAAAATAATAAGTGTACAGTCAAAATAAATCTGAGTATGTTTAATAAGATGCCCAGTAAAAGAACTTTAAACATAATTATACAATAAATAATACGCTTTTTCTATTTTTTTCTCTCCCTTCAATCTTAATTAGTAAGTAAATAAAACAGTCTGAAAAACTAAATGATTAAGGATGTTAGAAACATCAAATAACCGGTTATACCAGACTACTTTTTTTTTTTTTTAAATTAGGTCATTTTTAGTGCAAATATAAATTTTGAAAATTTTTTTTAAGGGGAAACAAAAGGCTAAAAAAAAATAGTGTAAACCACTGTTTTAAAAATTTTATTTTATGAGGCTTACTTCTTTATTTTTTCCACAACATTTAGAAAAAAAACATGAACAGCTTTAAATAACAAATTAAGATAGGAACAAGTTGATCAGAAATTATTTTAAAAAACCCGCGACTCCCATATGCACACATAACATGTGGAACGTTGAAACATGAATTTTCTTGACTTCGGAAACAGATTCCTCAATATAAAGATAAATTGGAATAAGTTTAAAAGAAACTGATAATTATAGTTATTTTCATGCAACAATATATTATTCCAAAACTATATTGTATATGATCTTAGTAGTACTAAAGAATAAATGAACACAAATATAAACAAAGGATAAGTAAATGTAGCGTAATTTAGAAACAAAGATCAAAGCAAAATGAAATTAAATCAATACGTAAATTAAATGGACTTTTAAAAGTACTTTTAATTTTGAAATAAATGAAATGTATAAGAAATGAAAAATTTCAATGTAATTTGATGGAAGAAGAAATTTCTAAGTCAAATATGCAAATAAGTTAGTTCTTAACATCAATTTCCGATTAGCAATCGAACATTTTTAAGTAAAAATTTTTATAGCAAAAATGCTGAGAAGCCAAAAAACTGAAACAAAATTATAAGTCTGAATGAGGAGTAATTAGAGGACATCCCTAAATTCAAATTATTGCATGTTTGTGATTTTAAGACCTATTAAATTTTATCGTTATTAAATAAAATTAAAAAACGATATAAGCATTCCGAAATGAACAAAACTATAGAATAAAAAATTTTTAAATAAAAACCTAAATTAAATTATTTTAATACAACTTATTAAAATAAATTAATAAAAATTATTAAAAGGATTGATAGCAATTTAAAAATGGAGCAATACTACTTTATTACTTTTTTTTTAAATAATGCAAACTTATGTGAAAACTAGAAATATTTATCTAAAACAAAAATTATACAAAATTGAAGGCACTGAGGGGGAAAAAAAACTTTCGTTACGCAGACAGAAGAAGGGCAGCCCAGCCTCTTCGCGCAGGGAAAATAAATAAATAAAAAAAGACCGCCTGTATAATTTATGAAAATAATTGTAAATGAAACCAAAATAACACTTGATGTTGAGCCCGTCACAACTGCAATGATCACAGATCATTTTAGGTACAAAATAATGGTTTTGTTATAACAATACAATAAAGTTACAATATTTAACTGTTATATCAGACATATTTTGGAGTTTGGCAAAGGCATTGTCAGAAACTTTTATTTTAAAAAAAAGTAAAGTCGTATTATGGGAGAAAGGTTTTCATTTCCATTTTTAAAAAAATGCGATGTGAGAGACAACTGCTGTCATAAGCCAAAGGGTCAAATTCCTGGTATGTATGATGAAAACGATATAATATGATGATTTAAGATGAAAAGAAAAGTAAAATGATAGAAGTAATAAACGAATCTGTAAAAAGAGTGGGGTTAATTAAAAAAACATTCGATTCAATACTGATTCAGCAATAATTCGTTCTGCAGAGGTAAAGGAGAAGATAAAGAAGGGGTTCTGTTTTTCACAACAACTCCTTTTCATTTGGAACATATTTCGGATTTCACTTTTTCAATCTGGTTTTTCTTATTTTTTATAGTGAAAGAAATTTTTAAAAATCCAAGCGATTCTTTTAAAATTGCATGTTCATCAAAATAGTATATTCTGAATAAAAAATATCAAGACAGAATACAAAAAATCAAGACAAATAGGTACAGAATATTTTAAATCAGGAATATCAGGAAAACAACAAACTCTGGGTTATACATAAAATTCTTCCAGATACCAATTTCAGATTAATATTTTCTACAAAGAGAAAACATTTGTTCATGTTTTTCGTAAGTGTAATATGCATCCTTATGTTGAATTCATTTATATTAATTTCAAGAATATGAAGTCCTGAAATGAAATAATGAGCCATAATTTCGTTTTAACCATCAATAAAATTCATTCCAAATAATTATTCCATTATTTTTTATTCCATATAATAGAACTAGTGTAAACATCGGATACATGTACTGAAGGAATTTCTCATCGCGTATCAATTTTACATAATTTTGTGAGTAATTAACTGATAATTTAGATAAAGCTCCAGCTATTAAATATAACTAAATTGTTGTATTAATAAAATATATTTATAAATAGTTTTTTAATGAAAGCTAAGAAATATTTGTGAACTTTGAAGTTAAAAAGAAATTCTGACTTTAATAAAAAAATTATTTCCTACACTTATGGATTTTAAGAAATTGAAAGCTCATATGAAATGTAAAATACATAACAAAATATTTATGAAACTCAATTTTTCTCATTATTGCAATTATTATTATTGAAAAAGCTACTCAATATTATTGCAGTAGCTTCACGTCTACAAATAAATTTGAAAGATAAAGCACTTAAGAAACTAGTGCTTTCCATTTTATGAAAAGAAGCCAAGGAAGAAAAAAACATTTGAATCATGGATAATTCAGCCATGGCTATGTATGCTTTAGCAAGAGATTTCACAAATTTAGTTCACATTTTATAGAAAACACGAGCACATAATAACTTAAGCCAGGCTAGTTTTAAAAAAATTTAATGACACATTATAAACAATCAATGAATGA